TCTTTCAACTGAGGATCATGTTGCCATGAAGCCTGGAGTTTAGACTTTACCCATCAATTATTGAATCAGAGTCCCCCTTAACCTTGTTATTTTTGAACAGCAACTATGCCTCCTAAGGTCCTGTAATCAAAAGCGTAACAAAGACCAATTGGTTCAAAAAAGGCTAGAATTGTATTTCCATCAGGTCTTTAAAATTTCCTCATATTCACAGTTAACCCTGACTTTAAGAAACCATTACCATTTAAACTTAATTCTTGTAATGGCAGAGGTTTCCAAGATATAGAGATCCTTTTGCTGGCATTCAGGGGGTAATACATTTTTTCCAATGTCTCAGGCCCCGTTTGGATTGAAGGATTTCAAATGAATGGATTTAGGTTCGGTTATTTAAGAAGTTTAGTTTAAATTTAAATTGACTATTATAGATTTAAGTTTTAATAACATGGATTAATGAATTTGAGAAAATTGCTTGTGTGGATGTCAGGTAATAAGGTACAAGTACTTCGAACTTGTTTTATCTTGGCAATTTTCTTCCCATCCTTTGTATCTGACTCATGACATAGATCATAAATTACTGTAATTTTGTAGCAATTGTTATAACTCAGACTCAGTGTTAATTAGCTACAGTTGTTATTTTTCTTTGGTTTCTTTTGCACCCAACAATTCTTTTGTATACTACCTTAAGCATGCATCTTTGCCAATTTGTTGTGAGGTCAATTTGCAGTTATTTCTGTTTGAACATCATCATATATGTGAGCTTCGTAATTTATTTTTATCTTTCTTGATAACTTCCTTAAGGTTACAGGAAGTATTTTTATAAAATCTTTTTAGTATTCGTTCTGTACATTTAGCCATCTTGTTTTACATGAAGTTATATTGTTCATCCAACTCTATTCCTCAATTTTACCCCAAGGGGTTGGCTCAAGTGGATAAGTCACTTGGCCCTGGTGCCTCACGAAGAATCAGGTCTAAGGTTCAACTCCTCTTGGGTACACTTTGAGGAGGTGGGCGTTTGAGTATCAACTAGGAAAAAAAAAAACTCAATTTCCTTCTAAGTAGTACTAATTTTCTGTTTGTAAGTTGTACACTTCCAGTTTGTTTTAATCTTATTTCCTTTGTTCTTCCTCTTCCACCCTATCTACATGCTCCTAAATCTTTAGCCTATATTTTGTGAAAAGGCCACCTGTCTTATGACTTGCGATTCTTACATGTTACTCATTCCATCATACTTGTTAGGAAAAACTTATTTGACTATTTGGTGGCTATTGTCAGGGGCTTATTTGTTATTACTTATATAATTTTGGGGTTTATATGTAATTTCTGAAACTTGTTATTATAATAGAATGTGGTGGAAGGATGAAAGGATTCTTTCATTCTTTCTCTTTTTCCCCATCTCTTTCTCTTTCTCTCATATGCTTTCTTCTCTTTTTTTTTTTCTTCTTCTTCATTAACACTTGATTTGATTATATCTTAAAGTCAACATGGTATCAAAGTATGGTTTAAAAGTTGTGGGTGTGTAGTTGAAACCCTAGGGCAAGTTTATGTAAACCCTAGTGGGTGTGAAGGTTTTTGAAGAGATTCCAAGATGGGATTTGTTCGCTATTCTGGTATAATCAACTTTGTTGCTTTTTAGGGTTTGTGTGGTGAGTGTGTAGTCGCTTTTTTATGCATCTCAGAAAACGGTATTCTTTCTAGTTGAAGTTTGTGTTATTGAGGTGGTTCTCTACGTATTTTGTTGCTGCTTTTGTTTCTAAGGATTGTATACCCAGAAACTGTTTGATAAAGTGTCTGGCTCAGAGGTGACTTCAAAAGAAGTTGGGTTTTCTCCTAATCTGGACGAGACGAACTATACGGAATGGGCTCAATTTGCTCGTATGCATATCATTGGTCATAGGATGATCGACCATATCGAAGGGACTGCCATGTATCCCTCCAAGAGCGATCATGAATTCAAAGAGTGGAGTGCAAATAATGCACTAGTTATGACGTGGTTGTTGCAGTCAATGCAGCCACAGATCAGCAAAGGGTTTATGTTTGTGAAAACAGCTAAAGAGCTATGGACGGCTGTGGAAGAGACGTATTCCTCGGTTAGTAATTTCACAAAACTGTATAACTCCAACTAACAGATTTTAAGATTCAAGCAGGAAGACCAAACTCTTGCTGCATATTACCACACTATACGTGGTAAATGGGAAGAGTTAGATCACTACCAAGACTACATACATGTGTGTGCAACTGATGTTAAAGCATTTCATACTATGGTAGAAAGGAATCGAATCTATGAGTTCTTGTGTGGTCTGCATCCGAGATACGAGCATGCTAGGGTATAAGTGTTAGGTAGATATCCAGCCCATACTTCTGTTAGAGATGTGTTTTCGTATATCCAAGCTGAGGAGAGTAGAATGAAGGCTATGTCTACACCTGTATACACTAATCCTGAGCCAGAAGTACCATTGCCTGAGAGGTCTGCTCTTGCCACACGACAATGGAACAAGCCCAATCCTCCAAATGGAGGGAAGCAAGATGACAGGAGCAAATTGAGGTGTGATCACTGTGGATGTACGCGCCACACTAGGGAAACATGCTAGAAACATTAAGAGGAAATGCCCCATTCCTTTGCCTGTTCCCATTCAGAGGGAGCTTCTTACTGAGGTGCCTAAGTCTAGTCCTCCTACCACTGATGATTTGCAATAGGGAAAACAGCCAATTGTCTACATTAGGAGGGCAAAACAAGTCATTAACTCACCCCAGGACCAAGAAGTCTCCCTTGATCCAGGTAATTCCTTAGTTGACATTAACACTCCTAATTCTTTTCCCAATAGCATTCATGTTGATCTTGATGTCCCTTTTGGCTATCGTAAGGGTGTTCGTAGTTGTACAAAACATCCCATATCTCAGTTTGTATCCTATGATGCCTTATCTCCAATATATCGTGCTTTCACTTCAAGTATCTCCACTGTATCTGTTCCTTCTAGTGTTTGAGATGCTCTCAGTCAAACTCCATGGAATAAAGCCATCCTTGAAGAAATGACTGCCTATGAGAAGAATGGTACTTGGGATATTGTTCCATTACCTAGGGGTAAGAAACCAGTAGGCTACAAATGGGTCTACATAATAAAGTATCATGCAGACAGAACAATTGAGAGATATAAAGCTCGGTTAGTTGCAAAGGGCTTTACTCAGACCTATGAAATTGATTATCTGGAAACATTTGCTCCAGTTGCCAAGATGAACTCTATACGTTTTCTTCTTTCTTTGGCAGCTAATTTGAATTGGCCCTTACATCAGCTGGATGTAAAGAATGGTTTCCTTCGTGGTGACTTGGATAAAGAGGTGTATATGACTATGCCACCGAGGGTTAAAGCTTGCGAATGGTCAGAATTTAGTGTGCAAGCTAAGTAAAGCCTTGTATGGATTAAAGCAATCGCCACGTGCTTGGTTTGAGAGGTTTAGCACTGATGTGAATTGAGTAGGGTACACACAGAGTCAGGCAGATCATACTCTCTTCATCAAGAAGCACCAGGGTTGCACCACTACCCTTATTGTATATGTTGATGATATTGTTATCACTGGAAATGATCCAGAAGAGATTTGTCAAATGAAGTCATTCTTGGGGACAAAGTTCGAGGTTAAAGACCTCGGATCATTGGAATACTTTCTTGGCATCGAGGTGTGCAGATCGAAGAAAGAGGTGTTCATTTCTCAACAGAAGTATGTGTTAGATTTGTTGGCAGAAATAGGCAGGCTTGGAGCTAGACCTATTGATATTCCTATTGAGCTGAACCATAGGCTTAATGATGTAGATGGAGACCCATTAGATGATGTGGGAAGATTTCAACGATTGGTTGGGAGATTGATTTACTTATCTTTCACGTGCCCGAATATTGCCTACGCTGTTTGTGTGATTATTCAGTTTATGCATGCTCCACATACACCTCACCTTGAGGCAGCTCATCATGTTCTTCGCTACCTCAAGAGTTCACCTGGTAAGGGGACATTGTTTGGCAGTCATGGCCACTTGCATGTTGAAGCCTATATTGATGTTGATTGGGCAGGGTCTATGACAGATCGACGATCTATTTCAGGATATTGCACATTTGTTGGAGGTAATCTTGTTTCATGGCAAAGCAAGAAACAGTCTGTAGTAGCTAGATTTAGTGCAGAGACTGACTTAAGATCCATGGCACATGGAGTTTGTGAGTTGTTATGGCTACGTACGATGTTGGGTGAGTTGGGTTATCCTGTTCGCGAGTCAATGAAGTTGTATTGTGACAACAAGGCTGCTACTAGAATTGCCCACAATCCAGTTCAATATGACAGGACAAAGCACATTGAAGTCGATTGACACTTCATCAAGGAAAAATTTCGTCTTGGGCTGATTTGTACTCCATACGTCAATGTTTTCACTAAGGGTGTGAGCAAGACTGGCCTGCAAAATATGTTAGTCAAGCTGGGCATGATAGATATCTTTGCACAAGCTTGAGGGGGAGGGGGAGTGTTATCCGGGGCTTATTTGTTAATACTTATATACTGTTGGGGTTTATGTATAATTTCTAAAACTTGTTATTATAAATAGAATGTGGCGGAAGGATGAAATAATTCTTTCATTCTTTCTTTCTTTCCCCATCTCTCTCTTTTTCTCTCATCCGCTTTCTCTTTTTCTTCTTCTTTATCACTTACTCTTGATTTGATTATATCTTAAAGTCAACAGTGTCTGCTGGCAATAATATTATTAGATCTTCCTCTTCTTCTTCCTTTCATGTGATTTCTACTACTTGTCAAATATGGTATGGTGCCATTTTTTTTTTTTTTTTTTTTTTTTATAATAATTTATTAAATCTGTCAGTAATTACTAATTTGCATCTCCTTTCTTTTCCTTTAAAGTGGCTTTTTTTCTGTTTATGATAATCAATTAAATCTGTCATTAATTACTAATTTGCATATCCTTTCCTTTTTATATTTCTCCTCTAACATACTTCTTTGTCCTACTAAATTGTGAGCAGACGGTAGAGAGTAGCCCTGGTGGTGAAAATAGTGAAGGGGAGGCTGTTAACTTCTCACAACTGGTATATATCTGAGGCTTCTACTTTTGTACTTTCTGTGGCTGCTTTTCGGTACCATTTTACGCTTTTAATTGTCACCTATCATAATTGCTTAATTTTCCATGCCTTCATGTTCCATGCTTCCTTTACCATGATTATAGCTTTTGTTCCTGTGTCTTCTCTGTTTTGTTTTGTCATCTTTTACTTATCAAAAAAAAAAAAGGGTTTTCATCTGTTACCTGTAATGAAACTACCGTCAAATTGCATTATTTTAACTTTTATATATTACTTATACATGCAGAACCTCATCGATCTGGCAGGTTCAGAGAGCTCCAAGGCTGAAACTACTGGTGTGCGCCAGAAAGAAGGATCCTATATTAACAAGAGTCTGCTTACTCTTGGAACTGTGAGGCCCTCAATCATTGCCATTGTTTTATCACTGTAGTAGTTGTATCATTGTAATAATTCTCTCTAAGTATGTCTTCTTTTGCATGCAACAATGCCTTTTACTACAATATTATGAGTGGAAAAAGAAAAATACACTAGTCATATTCTTGACCCTATATTTAATTCTTTGAATTTCATTGTAGAAACAACTCTCACTTTGTCTTTTTCTCTTTTCTAAAATCAGATTCCTTCTCACTTTTCTTTCATTTTGCAAATAAAATAGGTAATGTCTTAACTGATCATCTTACACCAAAACTTTGCAACATATGTTGATTGATTTTGTTTTATAAGGAATTGAAATCCTCTTCGCATAGCTCCTATAAATTATTTTAAGTTTAAAGCTACTTCCTCATTCCTTTTCTATTTTTTTTTCCTTGTCACTATACAATTAAATATCGTACACAATAATTAATTGCAATAAGATAGTTAGCAACCTTTACATTAATTGAATGGAACTTATATGGATGAAAATTAATTCTAGGTATGTCTCACTGTTCCATTGTTTCCTTCCATATGAGGTGGTAGTTGACTTTTGACTTAAATGTGTCATTGAATGCATTTTCCGAGCAGAATTATTGTACCTGATGGTTCTGCTTCTTTCCTGTTATTTTGGTCTTCATTTTACAGATCTAACTTGTCCCAGAGCATGTTAACCTGTAATTGTCTCTCACAGGTTATATCAAAGTTAACTGATGGAAGGGCCACTCATGTACCATACAGAGACTCTAAATTGACTAGGCTTCTTCAGTCTTCATTAAGTGGTCATGACCGTGTATCTGTAAGCATTCCCAGATTTATATCTATATATATTTTTTTGTATGTGTATGGTTTAGTATGTATCTTCAAATTCAGCACGAGATATATTTGGATGTGTTGTAAATAATAAAACGGAAGCAAAGAAAGAAATGAAACTAGAACACACCGATATTACGTGGTTCAACCACTAGGGCCTACATCCACGGCACAAAGAGCCCAAAGGGCTACATCACTTTTATAATACTCTCTCAATTCATACACAATACAATGGTGAAGGCTCCTTTATATAGGAGAAGAAATTATAAGAATGGAAAGAATTAGAAAATAGAAAACAATAAGGATTTTTCTTCACTGATTCCTCTAGTAACACCAAATCTTCAATAATAGGAAACAACATCAATTACTGAAAGATTTTCCTCCACTGATTCCTCCATTAAATCTTCAATACCCTCCCTCGAGTTGGAGCATGAATGCCCAATTTGCCATTGAGATGACGAGTAACAACAAGTGTGAATGATGAAGAGAGAAGACGAAGAACAATGCTACCGAACATGCCGACAGCCCAAACAAGTCAACAAAAAACTGCCAGAGATATGGCAAAGGCAAGGACAACGCTACCGAACACACCGGCAACCCAAACAAGTCAGTAAAAACTGTCAGAGACACAGCAAAGACAAAGGCAATGCTACCGAACACGCCGATAGCCCAAACAAGTCAATAAAAACTGTCGGAGACACGGTAAAGGCGAAGAACATTATTGCCAAACAAATCAGCAGCCCAAACAAGTCACAAATAACACCCAGAACCCTTAGCAACATTTCAAATGCTAATGGAATACCCCTAAAATAGGGGTCTGAACCTAGGAAGAGAAATTAGTCTCTGATACCATGTTGTAAATAATAAAACGGAAGCGAAGAGAGAAATGAAACAAGAACACACTGATAGTACGTGGTTCAACCACTAGGGCCAACATCCACGGCACAAAGAGCCCAAAGGCTTACATCACTTTTATAATACTCTCTCAATTCATACACAATACAATGGTGGAGGCTCTTTTATGTAGGAGAAGAAATTATGAGAATGGAAAGAATTAGAAAATAGGAAACAAGGAGGATTTTCTCCACTGATTCCTCTAATAACACCAAATCTTCAATAATAGGAAACAACATCAATTACTAAAATATTTTCCTCCACTGATTCCTCCATTAAATCTTCAATAGGATGAATGATTAACATTTTCAATTTGTCTGTGGCACCTGATTTTTCTGAATAAACACTGCTTCTGAATGAGTGTTTCATTCTATTTATTTGACTTTATTCTGTAAAATTGTAGCTCATATGCACTGTTACCCCCTCGTCAAGCAATTCAGAAGAGACACATAACACTTTGAAGTTTGCCCACCGTGCAAAACACATTGAAATTCAAGCAGCGCAAAACAAGGTATGATAATTTGAGCCGCATTTTTGAAATTCTCTTCGCTGGCACTTATTGGAAGTACTGTGAACCTGCAGATCATTGATGAGAAATCGCTTATCAAGAAATATCAAAACGAGATTCACTGTTTAAAAGAAGAGTTGGAACAATTAAAGAGAGGCATTGTTACAGTTCCTCAACTCAAAAATAACAGAGAAGATGATATTGTGCTCCTAAAACAAAAGGTACACTTGTGTGAGTTAGCTTTGTGGTCCTGCCTCAAGCTTCTACATTTCAGCTTAAATTATTATTATTTCTTTTTTGGATGAAAGTGTCTGATTGGATAATTGATCTCACTGCATAGAACTAATTTTGTCCAATGAAAGAGCAACGATCTGGTCTACAGAGAGCAAAAGTCTTAAATTTCTGAAACCATAATGAAAAAGTAGAGATGGTATCTGAACATTTAGGGAGGAAATAAGGCTTTACATATGAATTTCATCATTAACAGATATCCATTTACTAGTGCCCTTGGCTCCCATTCCAAATCTTCTAGTGTCCAGTTGATCTCCATCATAATTACCTTCTAATTTTTCTTGAACCAACCCTTAGAGTGTTTTAGTTTACATCTTGCCCACCCATGTATCTAAATCTGAGAAATTTCAATAGAAATTTTTTCCTTGGCCTCCAAACTGCCAAAAGCTTAGAACCATCTTAACATTCATTAATGAAGTTTTCAACTCCTCTTTTTTTTTTTTCCTAGTTGGTACTCACACACACTTGTCTCTTCTGAGACTTGAACCCCTGACCTCCCTTTAAAAGTAAGAGGCTAATACCGCTAGGTCACTGGCCCGTTGGTTTTTTTTTTCAACTCCTTTTAAGTGGAAGGGACATTTTCAAATATTGAGATTTCAGTTGGAATTTGGGGTGTTTAGACTTTAGCTGAATATGGACTTTATGCACCTTAAAAATCCAACCACCATGATGTAGAAAGGGAATTTACAAAATTTTAAAAAGCTGAAATCCTCCATTGATGCCTACAGAAAAAAGAAATCTCTAAACTACTCCCTTGATTCTTGTTAGGTGGGAGCTTCAAATCCTTGGAGATTTTTCATTCATGGTGTTCCAGAATGTATCATAAAGTAGATTTTTAGTAGGGGTGGCAAAGTTCGACACGACCCGCCAACACGACATGTACACGACACGAGTTAAATGGGTAATGGGTTTACCATAAACGGGTTCGTGTCATAAACGAGTCGACACGATTAACCCGTTTAGTTAATTGTGTCGTGTTTGGGTTTTGCAGTTTAACCCGTTTAATTAAACGTGTCATCCGTGAACCCGTTTAACCCGTTACCTGTTTTAACCCGATTAATAGGGGACATTATAGTCATTTCATATTTGCATAAGTAACCCTAGTTTTTAAAGCATGGTCCAATACAGTCAACGCTCCCAAGTCCATTACGCCTCTTTCTATGCCGCCTCAGTGTGACTCTCTCTCTCTCTCTCACCATGTCCATGAGTCCCTAACCAGACAAATACTCTATCTCTCTCTCTTTCTCTCTCTCTCTTCAGTCTCTCCTCTTTCTATGCCGCCTCAGTGTGACTCTCTCTCTCTCTCTCTCTCTCTCACCATGTCCATGAGTCCCTAACTAGACAAATACTCCCTCCCTCTCTCTCTCTCTCTCGGAACGGTGGAAGCAATTTTTCTAATTTTTTCTCTCTTTCCTCTTTTAGATCTAATTTGAAACAGCAAGAGAGTGAGATTTTTTTTTCTTCTATATTGTAACTTTTGTAAGCTCATTTTTTGTAGATCTTGACTTTTGGGGCTCTGTTTTGCTCATGCTGATTGGGATATATATATATATATATATATATATATATATATATATATAATATGATTGAGATCAAATATGATTGATGATGAGGAGGATTTTTGTGGATTAATGATTCCTGTCCAATGATTCATCAATTTGTGTTATGTTAATAGTATAAAATAGTATTATCATAAATCTGTCTTGCTGTGTTCTGTTGATTTTTTTGTGTTCTAAATATGTAAAATTTGATTTCCATTGTGACTGTCAAGGAATTTTATCAGTTGTTAATGGGATTGAATGCTTTGAAAAGAAAAAAATAAAAATCAAACTACTAAATGCCCTATCAAGTACTCCGTATAAGCATGTTACACAGGTCATTAAATAGGTCAAGTATGTTAAATAGGTTAAGCATGTCTTTAAACAGGTTGTGTTTTGGTGTGTGTTACACGACCTGTTTATTAAACGGGTTATACGTGTCGTGTCGTGTCGTGTCATGTCACCCGTTAATAAACAGGTCGTGTTAGGGTTGAGGATATCCAACACGATTATTAATCGTGTCGTGTTCGGGTTGACGTGTTTAGTGTAATACCCTTATATCGACACAACACGTTTATGACACGCGAACCCGAATTGCCACTCCTAATTTTTAGCCACAACCTATACCCTAAGCCAGTATTTGCAGCAGGGTAAATGTCAACTGGGTTGTCCCAGCCAAAATTTGTTAATTCCTTTTTGGTTGTTTCCCAAACCGCGTTGTGGATGTGCTCTTATTTCTGCGATGTTTTCAAGTTTAGAAAAGAGGAACTGGAGAACCTGTGATTATCGCTGAGCTGTTTAGTCTCAGGTAATGGTTACAATGATATTCTTAGCTTACTTTGGGTGCCTATCAACCAAGGTTGTCAGGATCAGGATCCTACATCGAATTGATTATGGGGTAACAAGCCTAAAACACAAAATATATATAGAGAGAGATATTCTGGTATAAACTAACGCACAAGTTCACCAGTAACTGAGAATGTAACTCAAAGGTAGAACCCTTGCACCAACATTGCAGTATACAACTTGCAAGATTATGCATGGGAAACATTAAAGAAGAAGGAAAAGAAGAAATAGGAATAGAGAAAAAAGAATTAGTCCATGAAACGGCAGATGCTATTACTGAGCTTTTGAAGAAAGAAGGAAGAGAAACATAAACATAAGTCAGTCTGTGTGAAAAGGAGGAAGAAGAGAAAAATACACTGATCATGCAAACAGAAAACTTGATTAAAAAAAGAGATAAAGAAGAAGACATTATTCATGGGGTGGGAAACTTGGCATTCTTCTCTCTTCTTAATGAAGAGAGAAATAAGAGGAAAAAAACATTGTTTTGAACGGGAGAAATTTAAAATAAGAGAGAGAGAGAGAGAGAAGAAATGGAGAAACATGACGTAGTTCATGAAGAAGACACTGTTTATGACGAAAGATGGAAGAAAGAGAAAATGAGAAGAAATAAAGAAAAAGAAGAAGCAGAAAAGAAGAAATTGTTGTTCATGAAGATGAGAATGAGTTCTAATTTACTAATTTTTGGGTTTTATTTTGGGTTACAGGCTTTTTGGGATTTATAAGATTTTGGATTTGAGGGTTATACGCTAAGTCATGGGTTTCGGATTTTTATTAAATTTTGACTGAAGGCCCAAACTGAGAAGTCGTGTTCGTGTAACTTGGATAGTTTGTTTCATCCATAGGATCACAAACCTACTATCCTGAACGATTCCATGGCAACCGCCTAAAATCCTTCCCATTTTGCAGTATTTTATATTATCAGAATTGATTTGACATTTTTGGATAGTAGGATTGTACGGTCCGGATTGGGATTCTAATAATCATGCCATCGACCTTGAGTTTGCATGTACAAGTTTGAATGACCTTATAAGGGGATTGGCTGCTCATCATAGCTCCTTTCTCATCATCTGTTGTCCTGGAAATCTGCAGTTCACCTCTGCAATAAAGTTGATGTATATGGTTCCTCCTTGAGTAATTTGAATAATTTGGAAATGGAAGCTTATATGGACACTATACCCTTAAACTATCCACAAAATCTACAAATTCCCCCATAGATTTACACTTTTTCCCTCAGACCCAAAAAAATAAAGAGCTAAGAATATGAAATTTCAATGCCGAAATAGGAACCTCCATACCATCGAAGCATCTCCTATTCCTCTCCTTTCATAAGCCCCACCAAAGACAAAGGGGGGCAACCCTCCAAGTCTCTGAGACTTGAGACACCACCGAGAAGCCTCGCCAAACTTCAAGAATGCTCTTCGTAGACCACAGCATTATTCAATAAACACCAAAAAGCGAAAGAAGCATGTCCCAGCATCCCTAGCCGCTAAACAATGCAAGAGAAGGTGATTTACTGGCTCCTCATCCCTCTTGCACATGCTGCACCAGTTGATGAAAACTTGCCGCCTTCGACTCAGGTAATCAACCTGGAGAGTTGAATCTTACGATTGTGGAAATGTTATTATTGTCATGTTCCCAATGGATCTCTAATAGGCTACTTAATCATTCATGAGGTTGACCTCTCAACTTTGAGGAGTGCAATTTCTAGGAGATAAGTTCCCTAGATGCCTTTTTGTTTGCTGTAGGTATCTATTTGGGAAGATCTCTCTCTTAGCGCATATTCCACTTTAAACTTCAATTTTATCAAAAGGCTTGTTACTTCAGTCTACGTGCAATATTTATGGAGTAAGTATATTGGATGTACAAGGGGATGGCCTACACTTTCAGTCAACAAGAAATCAGAAATTCAGTTCGAAGATATCCTACTCATATTCATCTGAATTTGAATTTTACTTGTCTTAGAAACTTTCACCAATTCAATGCTCTTCTCATTTGATTCATCATAGTATTTGGAACTGAGTCTAAATATTAGAAATATCTCTTTAAAAAATGGTATCCGAAAGACATAAATATTTTAATATTCAATTATAATTCTTGTAATTATGAAAATGACAAAAAAAATCTGAGTTTTATTGCACTCTTGTCAACACTTTAAACAATATTTGTATTTCTATTTTTCATTTGTGAGTTGTGATAGGCTTTACATGAGAGTCATCCTTAATACTGGGTGAAAACTTTATTGCTTTTTAGAAAAGAAAAAAAAAATATATATATATATATATATATATATATATATTTGTAATATCAGTTTTTATTCTCCTCGTCATATTATTTTGTTTTTTCTTGTCTTTTACCACTGGATATATCTTAAGTTTAATTTGCATGTATGAATTGACCCAATCCCTTTTGTATGGTGTGACGTGTAAAGCTAGAAGATGGTCATGTCAAGCTGCAATCGAGATTGGAACAAGAAGAAGAAGCTAAAGCTGCTTTGTTGGGCAGAATACAAAGGCTGACAAAGCTAATTTTGGTCTCAACAAAAGCTTCACAATCATCAAGATTTCCTTACCGCCCTGGTCCTAGAAGAAGGCATTCCTTTGGAGAAGAAGAGGTATGATGATTAGGTCATCCCAGAACACCTAATTTTCTTAGAAAATCTCATGATATTGTTCTATCAAAAGAAAAAGAAATTTTTATGACATGGCATGCTGCCAAATGAATAGACTTTAGATCTATTAAATTTTTTTTCCTATTTTTATGATGATCTGATTGAAGTTCACTATGGTGAATTTGCAGCTTGCATACCTTCCACACAGAAGGCGAGACTTAATTTTGGATGATGAAAACATTGACTTGTATGTTTCGCTTGATGGGAATGCTGAAACTGGAGATGATACTTTGAAGGAGGATAAAAAGACCCGGAAGCATGGATTGCTAAATTGGTTTAAACTAAAGGTATGTAGAATATGAACCATTTGTAATATGTGCTAATCTTTCTGAAAATAACTTCTTTCACCTATGAAGTTTTTAATTTCCAGAGTTACGAAAATTATTGTAGTAGTAAACAATAATAATTACAATATCTGATTTTCTTTTTCTTTTTGCTGACTAATGCACTTAATGTGATCACCTTTGAGAAAGAAACACAGAGAAATTCAATGTGCAAATAGTCATGCATGTAAGTTTACAATTTTTTAGCCATTTGTTGTGGAATCGTGCTTCAAGTATCTGTTAAAATATTGTGAGGTTCATATTACTGTTCCACAAGGAGAGGAACTTTTTTAGAATATGCAAAAATACTTGATCATGTATGACATGGAATTCAATAACAAAGTTGGAAACTATTTTCTGCCTAATATGGAAAAGGTGAGAAGACAACATTTCAATCTTAAATTTTTGTAAAGCGGAAACTAAGCAGCATTTTCTAGTAGTGGAGCCAATCTGGTGCCAGGTAGTTCCATTGATATGAGTAACAAAGCTTATTGGAGTAAACTAGAAGCATGTTTACAGTGCTACCATAACTTGAAAACAATTTTTAAATTTTTGAACACTTCACAAACAGTTCCACTTATTTGGATGTAGATAACCTGAAGTTTAATGTATTACAAGATTATAGTTGTATGTTAATATGTGATTATACATGCATTTCTACTTTTGTTTTCGTGCATGTTGTCTAGTATATAAGAATTTACAGTGCTGCCTAACTTAGGTGTGTCAATCATTTATCTAGTTGACAACCCCAAATCTATTGCACTTGGTATGTAATTGACCTTAATTTTTTGACCTACTGGAAAATGTGCTTTAGCCTACTTCCATCCTATATCTCAAGTTGCAGTGCACACTAACTAATAGCTTGGTTCTATCATTGTACTTTGCTTATCTATCTTCTTGTCTGTTGCACATCTTAATCAGTTCCTAGCTCTTGTTCCTTTGCATCTTAATCAGTTCCTAGTGAAACTGAGAGAACTTTGTATTTATAGTATTCCTGCTTCTATATTTGATTCATTCTTCATAATTTTATTTTTATAATTTCCAAAGCTTCTTTTGTCCTCTATTTTCCCAGAAACGAGATAATGGATTGGGGGCTTTGACAAGCACTAGTGATAAGTCAAGTGGTATTAAGTCTATTAGTACACCTTCAACTCCCCAAGCAGAAAGCGTCAATTTTCATATGGAATCCAGAGATTCACATTCCCTACTTGCTGAGAGCACACCTGTAAATCTTTTATCAGAGGTCGGGCAGGATAGAGAAGTTTCGGAGGACATCTTTTCAGGACAAGAGACCCCTTTGGTATGCAAATAATTATTTTTCAGTGTATAAATTTATCTTGTGATAGACCAAATATATCTGTTCCATGCTTGGGTCTTATGTAAAGCTTTTCAAGAATTTTTTCACTGTGTAGAAATTCTCAAGAAGACTGGTTTATATTATTTATAACTTAGATGTTGTTGAGACACTCACTAGTGGACACCGCAATCCCCCACCCCAATCAAAAAGAAAATAAATTAAACAAAGAAAAGCTAACATTTTGTTTTGGTTAGTTGGCAGAACGCTCAAGAACTCTTCACATCTCTCCTGCTAATGTTAGAGCTTGGGTGTGCATATTATATATTCAGCAGTACTCATCATTTCTTCAAAAAAATTCTTGTTGACTGTTGAACTTTGGGAAGCTCATTATTTGGTGATATTTGCCAATAGCTTACATTCTTAGGATGCCCTTGAAATGCATGGCAAGAGACAAATTGTCAACTGGGCAATTTAAGATAGGTTGCTTCTTCTTTCTTTTTTTTTTTTTTACTTTCCTTTTCTTCTTTAGCATTATTATCCTTCTTTTACCTTTGCTGGTTCTTTATAAAACTAACGTAGCATTTAGATTTGCTAGGAAGCAAGAACTTCAGACTTGAATGAATCTTATTAGGTTCATGCATCCACATCACTGTTAAAGACAAAATCTTTTAGTCAAGCCTGAACATTAAATGCAAAATGGCGTGTCATTTAATTTTATTTTTTTAGAAAATTTTACTTTTCCAGCATCTTGTGGACAACTTCTGGAATGTTTTATCAGTTGGCTCTAAGAATATAGGGTATTTAAGCGCATAAACTTATGTTGAACTTAGTAGATTTTCTGGTCAACGGTTTTGCATAATCCATCAATTTAGATTTCAACTTTTTGTTTGATGCCAGACTAGCATGAAGACAACTGACCAAATCGATCTTCTGAGGGAACAGCAAAAGATTTTGTCTGGAGAGGTGGCACTCCATTCAAGTGCTCTTAAGCGGCTGTCTGAGGAGGCAGTAAGAAACCCTAAGAAGGAACATATTCATGTACTATCTTGATTCCAAATCATATTCGTCCCTAGCTGATGTTGATAAGCCTAGATAATTAATCTTGTGGTCCAATATATTAGGTGGAGATAAGAAAGTTGAATGATGAAATCCGAAAGAAGAATGAACAAATAGCTTTCCTGGAAAAGCAAATTGCTGATTCCATTGTTTCTTCTCATGATAGAATGGATAAACTGGAAACATCACAAGTAAGTTCAACTTCTTTAATTTTTCTCTTTTCTTTCTTTTTCCAGATTTTGATGAGCTTATTTCATTGAATGAATTTCTCATCTCTCAAATGCAAGTTTATTTTTAAAACTAATTATTGTGTGCTGCAGTCTGTAGCTGAGATAGTGGCGCAATTGAATGACAAGTCTTTTGAACTTGAGGTGATGCAGTTTTGTATATTAATGGGAATTGTTTTTTATTTGTTTCTCACATATTAAGAGGACTTGTTTGGACACTGAATAGATATGAAATCATTTCATTTTTCGTTTCTTCTTTTTCAGTGAACGTGAATGGGCAAATCCATTTTTTTGTACATTGTTATAATGTCATCATCAACAACGATGATGACAAGAACAATAATAGAAAATGATGGTCTTTGCTAAGAATTGGAATCATCAACAGTAATGATAATAAAACTACCACTGAGTTATCTTAATTGAAATTCCTTTAGTTTCTTTCCTGTTTTTTAAAGTCACGAAACATGTCTGGGACACTCGAACCCTCCACCTTCCATTTAGGAGGAGGAGATACCACTTGGGCTATAAGGCTTTGGTGGTAGGTTCCTTTAGCTTTATCTCCATAGTAATGGGACATTACGACTTGAAATAAATATATTGTGAAACAAAGCAGAGGTTGAATTAAATTATGAGAAGCATATTTCTTTTTTCTTTTTTCAGGTCCAAACTGCTGATAATCGAATAATTCAAGAGCAGCTCAACCAAAAGGTACATGAGCCAATTTTACTTAACTTCCACCATGGCATGTCATGATTTTACTGCTTCAGAACCTTTTGTGACAAAACTATACTTCTCTTTCAGATCTGTGAATGCGAAGTATTGCAAGAAACAATTGCCTCCTTGAAACAACAGCTCTCCGATACGCTAGAATTAAGAAATTCCAGCCCGGCTGTCAGTTGTTCACAGTGCTACTCTGAAACGAAAAGCATTCAGGGAAAACTTTGTATGCACGAAGAAAATGTGGAATTGAAAGATACAAATGAAGCAATGCTGCTACAAGCTCAGGTTCTTTCTATGTGCCCCCCTTGTTGAATGTTGGTTTAGTTTTTGGAGGGAAGTCCTGTAATTGCATGAAATTATAATGGTTCATAATTTCTAGATATTTCTGCTTTAGTCCAAAAAGTAGAAGGAAAAGGAAACCTTCTAAGTAATCTTGAAAATCATAGTGTTCCTCTGATATTTTGTTTCAACCGCAAAACATTTTGATGGATTTTACTTGTAAAATATTACAATTATCATACGTCAATTGAATGATAAAAAGAACTTCTTATATCAATTTTCTAAGTTAAATGACACGACATGGAGAATCTAAATAAGTCCAAGTCTTTTATAATAAACATAAATTTTTGAATGCATTCATCCTTGATTTTGTTCATTTAGATAGACGAATTTAAGTATGTGACGTTATATTCATATGGGTGGAATGTTTATGCTCTTCAACTCTTCCATGTATGCCCTTGAACATTAATTGTTCATATTCATATTTATGAATCAACTGTGTACCTTTATTATTATATTTCACCTGATTTTGTGACTACTTAAATGATTTCAGTATAAGAAATGGTTCAAGTTTATGGATTGTAGGAATATATCTTCCGATTATATTCCTACTAATGACACATTGTACTTCCGTTGGCATGAAATACTGTCATATGTTTTGAAATGGGCCGATTGTCATCTAAGCAAACCTCCAACTAGACTCTTGTTGTTTCCTTTTGTAGGCAACTGAGATAGAAGACCTCCAACAGAGAGTCACTGAACTAAATGCAACAAATGAGCAGCTAGAACTTCGGAACCAGAAACTGGTGGAGGAGAGTTCATATGCCAAAGGATTAGCCTCGGCTGCTGCAGTTGAGTTGAAGGCATTGTCAGAAGAAGTTGCCAAGCTGATGAACCAGAATGATAGATTAGCTGCTGAGCTAGCAGCACAAAAGAGTAACCCTACACAGCGTAGAACTAATGTTGTGACCCGGAATGGTCGGAGAGATGGTAACATCAAACGGCACGATCAAGGTGTGTTGTCCTCAGAAATCAAGAGAGAACTAGCCATGAGTAGGGAAAGAGAGCTTTCATATGAAGCTGCTTTGGCAGAAAAGGACCAGAGAGAAGGTGAGCTACAAAAGAAGGTGGAAGAATCAAAACAAAGAGAAGCTTATCTTGAAAATGAACTTGCTAATATGTGGGTTCTTGTGGCGAAGCTTAAAAAATCTAATGGAACTGAAACTGATGTTTCTGAATCTAGAGAAAACCAAGGAGTCGATGGCTTTGAGATTTGGAGTAATTCAATGCCAAAATAGGGCTTTTCAATTATAAAAACCTGCTATCTATCTAGTGGATGAGAAAGATTGTGTTTGTTGTGCATTCCAAGTAGTGGGGGGTTAGGTTGGGTTTGTGTATTGTGAGGGGTTTTCCTTTTTCAGTTGATTTCTCAACTTTATGTACAAATCGGGTTATTCCTTTTGTTTGCTATTTTACTTAAATTAATTTCGATACGTTGTTAGCTTCACATATTGTTCTTCTATTTCCACTAGGACAAAACTCGGAAATCCAAGTTAGACAATTGGCTTCTAGAAAAAACCAGCCTCGATGAGGTAGTTACCTTCCACGGGGAATAAACTTGACAGAATTTATGGTGAATTCAATTTATGCCTTGACAATGAAAAATAAAATATAATAATAATAATAATTAAAAAAAAAACCCTTGAAAGGAATTCAATAATTCCGTAGGCCTCTCCCAATGAATTAATATTGAAACATGAATCCATCGCGTCAATGTTGTTGACCCACCTTCATATGTCTATCACTCTCCTCAGCTACATTTCTTGCTAGTGATAGTTCCCAACATGTGTGACATGTAGCTTAGTACATGGATATTCATAGCAAGAAATGTGTTTTGCAATCTAGATAAACCATATCATTAAGAGAACAAAAAGAAAGAATAGCACATAAAAGGATCGTCATAGCAAAATATCAGTATTTGAATGTTTATCAAGACACTGCATATCGTATAAAAGGATCGTCACAGCAAAATGGTCTCAATGTTGATGCAGAGCAGCTACTAGTGCAAAACAACCAAAATGCCAAGTAAATGAACCTCTGAACCTAGGACTGCAAAGATGTCAACAAACAAGTCCTTCAATAAATCTCAGTGTGATCCACTTATAGCACTAGTTATACTCTCACAAGAACTCTACCAAAAGGTGAATGTCTGTAAGAATACAGATTGAAACTTTGTGAGTAAAACTCAACCAAAGATTTGATACCCCTTAGACGCAAACCCAGGTTTGCTACTGGATTTATGGAAATCTTGTTGGGAACTTTATGCCTATAGGATCTAACAACACCAGTCAATTCTTTTCTTTTCTTTTTTTTCTACCATAACCACCAGTCAATTAAGAATGCAATGATCTCCAAACAACTAGAAAACAATGAAGAATCAAAATGCAACTCAAGTATTTTTTATTTATTTATTTATTTATTTTAATAAGTAAAAATGCAACTCAAGTATATTATGCAGAAATATTTTTTATGTAAAAAGTCACTAATATAAACTTAAAAAATACAAACTTTTATAAAGAATATTGAACAGTTTATGAAATGCGATAAAATCTGGAGTAAACAGCCAAAGAAAACACTATTATCACAAAGAAACAAAGGCTAGTCTGGAGAGGAAAGATTGGGTAGAATGAAGGAAAGAACTCACCATCGCAATGCAGACAGGGCGAAGACAAGTGCAACAACAAGTCTGGAGAGGTATCCAAGCTTTAAAGCAGTCCAACTATAGAAAGAAAAGGTCTAAAAGAAGTAGTAGGACAAGTATAAGAAGTAGAAGGACAAGAGTTGTAAGTAGAAAGAGAAAGGGAAAGATGTAGAAAAACTAGAGAAGAAGATAAGCGAAGAAAGAGAAAAATAACAGAGAAGATCTTCAGATCCGATTTTGAATAGATAAAATTGTAATAACAAAAAGAGAAACATAATTCAAATATTCAGAACAGAAAAACTTGGTATGCCAATGTCATATTCAAAGAGAATAACAGAATCAAAACCCATTTAAAGCAACTACAATGAAAACCAAGAGCATAACAAATTGAAAAACAAAAAAATACAAATTATATATAAATACAAAAGATCAGAGATGGTAAAACCCAGAACAGAGACTTAGATATCAATACCATATTCGAGAACCTACTAAAATCAGAACCAAGAACAAAAATATTACCAAATTGAAAAAATATTACCAAAATGGAGTTGACACAATCTCAACTTTCTCATAGCCATCTCTCTCACTCAGTACACCTTATTAGACGCCTGCTTAACTGATTTCCCCATGTTCCCTATCTAAAATCCTCCCTCTCTACAATGTATAAATAAATATATAGTCGGTGAGGGACAACAGAATGGTATACTGACTAGTTCACCCACTGGCTTGCTCACGAGTTTAAGTTTTAAAATTTTGCAAAAAACAAAATTTTAAGTGTTGTTAAATTTTTAAGACTTGAATTTTGTTTTTTGTTTTTTTAAAATTTTTAACAAAATTCCAAGTTATGAAAAAAAAAAAAAAAAAAAAAAAAAATTAGATTTTAAACGCACGCGCGAAGTAAGCCAATGGAAGTACAGATCACCATATTATGTTGTCGTCCAAAACTCACCAACTATATTATATATTTATTTATACATTGTAGAGACTATAGAAAAAGTTTTATATTTATTTATACATTGTAGAGAGAGAGTTTTAAAGAGGAAACATGTAGAAAATCAGTGATGATACAAGGAAGATGAGAGTCCAAGGCCATGTTGTCACGTAACATCATATATATTTGTCTCTCACACAATCAGAGTGAATTTGGTAATATTTTCTATTCTTGGTTCTGATATTAGTAGGTTGAAAAGAGGTTTTGATTATGTTTTCTTTGCTCGAATATGATATTGACATTCAAGCCACTGTTCGGGGTTTACCATTTGGGGTTCAGTTTTGTTTTTCTTTTTTTCAAATTGTTATTTTCTTTCTTGGTTTTAAAAGTAGTTGCTTCAAATGGGTTTTGATTTTGTTTCTCTATTTGAATATGACATTAACATACAGAGTTTTATGATTTACTAATTAACATAAGTCATCTAACCAACAACAAAAAACTGAATAAGCAATAAACCAGCACTAAATATCATCAACTCATCAACCAAGAAGAAGGAAGAATTTTCATACTCGCAATCGCAAGTTCACCTCAACATGGTAAGACATTTTAAACACAATGTGGTGAATTCAATCACAAAGATCATGACAACACCTAGAAGAAGACAACTAAAATAAAAAAATTCAAAGGTCAGGATCAGTTCAAGCCATGTATTATACCCCAAAGATGGAATTCATCTCAATTCACACCAATAAAAAACAGCATAATTGATTCTGGTCTTTGAAACCAACTCAGCCTTCCAAAAACTCTAGCAAAATCTCCTAACAATAACCAAATATCTCATAAAAAGGATATGTATACACACGAACAATCCTAAACATCATTTATTAGATCAACCCATTAGACACCATTACTAACATATATGTCCGCGCGCGCACATAGATATACATATATACACAGAGAGAGAGAGTGTGTGTGAAAAAAGTTGTTCAATAACTCTAAGGATCAATGATCAGATAAATTCATAAGTTACATTCCACATCAAATTAATCCAAGTTTTATTAAATTCTGCAATTACGGCTTTAAAAAAAAATTAATCAGAAAAAGTTCATTCCTTATGATAAGGAAAACTAATGAAAACAACAATTATAATACCAAAATTGATCAAACCTATTCCGAATTGATCAATTGCTTTTTGGATCCGGCATTGGAAACAACCCCGCACCGGCGGCCCCTCGCGGCGGCGAAAACCCTAAGAACTTCTGCAAATTGGTGCGAATGCTGATCGAACACAAGAAATACAAAAATGCCATCGAACAATCCGTCATATCGTCCCCTTGCAAACCTCTGTGGCTCATCTTCTGCACGATTCGAGCGGGCACAAAGGGCAATTTCGCGACGGCCTTGCCTTCGAACAACGAATTGAGCAATCCAAACACGACGAACAGGACCAAAGCAACCACAGCGCCTGACTTGAATTTGAAGAGAGAGAGATCGCGACTCGATTCCTTGAGACTGGTCTCGACGCGATCGATCTTCTTGGTTTTGGATTTTTTGACGGTGAGTTTTGTTGGGTTTGAGTCGGTCTTCATGGTCTCGAGCTTCTTGGAGGCTTTGTCAATGGAGGACTTGAGGGATTTGTAAGAAGAGGTTCGGTAGATGAGAAGCCACGAGATGGCTTCGCAGACCACGGCGGTGCAAACGGAGATTCCGACAACGGTGAGGCTGTCGGAGTATTTGAAGTTTGAGAACAGTGTGGTGGCCATGGAGAGAGAGTGATACAGAAGCTGGACAGAGAAAATCTCTGTTTTCAGAGAGAGAGAGAGAGACGGGGCCTTGATCTGAGTGTTTGGATGCTGTGTTTGGATGCTGAGTTTTGGGCGAGTGATTTAAGTTTTAATTTTATTTTTGATGGACTATTTCAAGATTGATTGGGAGTTTCATGTTAAGGGGTTGTTTGGATGTAGATAACCAAGGATTAAAAGGACACTCCAAGTATGATACCAATTTTTTTTTTTTGTTTCACAAATAGCATGATACTCATCGTTAGTTTGTCAGGAAAAAAAAACTATAGAAACAAAAAATGATATGATATAATGCATGTTGGAATTTGAGTAAAATTATACATGTTAATAAATTGTTGAGTTTGAAAGCAAGAATTTGTGTTTTGAATTTGAAATTAAAAAAAAATTATTTTAAATTTTTAACTAAAATAAAAATATTTTATAAGCACATTTGACAACTTAGATGTGAACTTACTGTCTCTTTGGTACCACTACTGAAAAATGCCAAGGTATATCTCCTTACTTTTATGTATCAGGAAATATATATATATATATATATATATATATATATATATATATATATATCTCCTTACTTGAAATAAAAATAGAAGAGAGAGATTAAAGCAAATTTAGAAGTCTCACTGAAATTAAGTCAAAAGCATGCCCAGCCCTGGACAATCTTTGGTCTATACGGATTATGTTGGACTGCATAGAATTAGAGTTTTAAAATTAAAGAATAATAATTTAAAATTTTGAACTAATTTTTTTTTTTAAATTTATTAATTTCATTTAGAAGGTTTCAATTCTATGCAGCCGAACAAAAATAATATAACCAGTTATTAAGTAATTGTTTAGCCATTATAAAACAAAATTTGAAACACAACAGGATTGAATCCGAAGTATCCCCTCACCCAATAACCATCTCACTTTTTTAACTAATATGGAGTTGATCAAAACTTTTATTATTAAAACAAAGCAAAGACCTTTTTTTTTTTTTGTTGATTTTCATTAAATAATCATATATCAAGTACAGAAAACTTGTAATAAAAAAATAAAAATAAAAAATCCTTATACAACAATATTAGGACTAAAAAAGGATTTGTTTTGCTGGAGAGGGGAAGATAGAGGTAAATTATGGTGATTCAGAAGGAAAGAAAAAGTTGGAAGAAATGGGTAAATGCCCATCAATGAATTTTTTATTTTTTAACATGTGTTTTAATTACATTAGACGACATCAACTAATGAACTTCATTCTCTTAAGGAGCGGATCCAAACATTATCCGTAGGTCTAAACACCATTACTCAACACAAAAACTTACCATTTCTATTTTACTCGTTATAGACACACAAAAACTGGTCATTTCATTTCAGCAGTTGAAAAGAATCAAAACCCAAACAAACCCAGATACAATTTTTCTTTACCTTTTTCCAGAACCATTATGGGTGCAACAAAGTTCAAGCATGCATGACTATGTGGCTTTTGTCATTGTGACCCAGACCCATAAGGTCATGACCACTGTGGGTATGAGGTTTGGTTATGCAGACCAAATTTTATTGATAACAACTATATATAAATATATATATATATATATATATATATATATATATATCTAATTTTTTTGTTAGGTTATAATACACTATAAACGTCTTCACATTCATCGTTATCATTTGCTTCTTTAACCAAAAAATTTAGTAAGATTTCAAAACAAAATTTAGAAGTTGTGATTTTAGTTAGCCCATATGGTATGGTTAGATGGAAATTCATAGTAAAGAAAGTGCAATAAAGGTTAGCATAAAAAATTTCAGAAAAATTATGAGAATGTCTCATTTCATAGTTTGAATAACATTAAAGTTAATAGAATATATATTGTCCCTATTGTTATTAATATGGCAATATGTCTAAATAAATATATATATTTTTATTTTTATTTTTTAAAAAAATAAAAGCAATATAAGAATATTTATAAAAAACTGTAAGACACCTAGAGAGATGTAACTATTATATTATTCTTATAAAATTTATGCATAACCACATTTTATTTTAGAAAATAAAAAGAGGGCTATAAATGAAATTTCATATATTTTTCTCAAGAAAACATAAATTTTCTATATTTTTTTATGAGAAAGTTAAGTAGTTATAAAATAAAAATTAAAAAAAAAAAAAAAAAAAATCCACAAACTTTTGCTTTTCCTTCTATCCAAATTATCAAAAAGTTAGAAAAAATTTTCATTTCTTTTATTTTTACTGATATTTCTACCTTACCAAACTAAGCAATATGAATAATATGATACATCAAAAGCTTACCACATTTATTTATACATATATACATATATATTTATATATTCTCAGCCAGCTCCAATCTGGGCAAGTAAGGAATAGGTTCACTTTTCACTGCCAAATAAGAATGTTGCCTGGTTAGGATTTAGGACAAACTAAATGGGATTCACAGAGAGTTCTATAATTAAACTTCAATATTATTATAGTTTTGTTCATTTCTTTTTATTTTTTTCCTTTTTGGATAATTTTTTCTTTTTTCCTTCTTATTATATAGTTAGATCTATCTCGAACTTATCTAAGATTCTACTTTTTTTGAGCAATGAAAGAGGGAGAAACTGACTCGGGGCGCATGCCATTTTGATAATCTTGATCAGAGATAGAGACTATTTTGTCATTTCTCATTCTGGTCTCATGTGATGCCATTTTATCTTTCAACAAAATGACAACACTATTTTTCATTACAAAAATGACAACATAATGACCCAAACAAACAATCCCTCACTATATTTTATATTTGTTTCAAAATCAAATCCATTCTGTCATACTAATTCAAAATTGCAATCAGATTCTAATATCTAAACCATTGAATTCAAAGAAAATGTACTGTGGATTCATGTCGTCATCGTAAAAGTGTATTACTATATATTATTTTTTGTTATATATCATTTGGAAATTATGAATACAAATACAAAATAAAAATACGATATAATAAAGGCACAACGATACAATAAAATTTTAAAAATAAGATACGAGAACTATATGAATATGTCAAAAAAATAATATTATATATATATATATATATATATATGCAAATAATATATTTTTTTGCTATTTTATTTCTATAATCATAAATAAATCAATAATTTAGAATTTAGAGCTAGATGTTTATTATTTTTGTTTTCTAAAATTTTATATTATTTTTAAATTTACTCCTAATATATTTTAAATTGCATTTAATTTTATTTTTATAAAAATATATTTACAAAATTATCCAACCATATCCTGAAAGTATCTAAAATGCATTTTTGTTGTGTCCATGATGTATCACAACCATATTCGAGAAGAAAAATAAATATTCACTATTCAAGATACTTCTAATCGTGTCCGTATATTCAAGAAATATCCGATACCATCACGACATCTTCATAGAAGTATTCGTGTTTCCTAACACACCACACTTATAACCATGGTTCGCCGTATCGGCCGATACGCTACATATCGATTAATTCGTAACTTTTTTTCAATAATTCGATGTCATTATACAATTCCACGAACCATCAGATTAATAAAAAGATTATATGTATGCAATTTTATTTATGGATGACTAGGTTGTTTCTGAACTCATGGGTGTACCAATAATTAGCTCTCTCTTGAAGAAGAAGAAGTATTGCACTACAAAAACATGAAAACGAAAAAAGAAATTATTTGTTATTTTTTAACATATTATGATTACAAAGTGCAAATTGTTTTTCTTTCTTGCACTCCAAATATTGACTTCGTTTTCTTTGAGTCAATGAAAGACAGATTCAGAGCCTCTGAATCAGAGGTTAGAGAAGTCAAAGAATCAAACTGAAACATAGTTTAGAAGAAAACCCTAAATCTACTTTTATTTTTATTGTATTATTATAAAAATTCAAGGTGACATATTTGATTAGTTTTATTAAAATCGTTTTTTTGTTCCTAGAATAGAGAAAAATAGAAGAAAGAAAAATTTATTCGTTTCCAAATTTTAGAAACCATTTTCAGAAACTTAAATCAAACATAATAATTTACGGAAAAAGAAAATCAAGCATGCTCTTTTTTTTTTTTTTTTTTTGAATAAATCAAACATGCTTTGTTCCAAGTTTTTACAAGACCTGCTAATTGCACTTCGTACGTGGCATAGTACAATATTTCTTCCCGAACACCTGGCACCATCTGATTGAGCATTCGGAATCATAAACTGACAGTGCTGTCTGGTGATCAGGCTATTGTTTGTACTTAACCTCAGCCAGCAGCCAAACGTACGCGCCTGTTTCACGGTACATACCAACCATTTTTGCAATAAATGTGACCTGTACCTAAATACCATCATTTTGACATGTGCCAAATAATTAAACTTAGTTAAATTTTCGGGAAAAAAAAACAATTAAACTCCTAATTCCTGAAAGTAGAATAATATAATACTCCGTAAGTTTTTTGTCAGGGATAAAACTTGAGGGGGTGTGAGTTTTTAAATCTATTAACTCCAAAAGTATTTCATTTAAGCGTCCTAAGATTTTTCACATGTGACGAATAATTAAATCCTATGTAAGTTTTTTTGTGAACAAAAAAAAATGTGGGCCCGTCAGTTTTAGATAAATACATAAGAAAAAAATAAACCCTTAATACCTAATAGACTTAAAAAATAGAAAAATTAAAATATAATATCTTTATAACAATTAATTCCAAAATTATTTCATTCAAATGTCACATGCTTTTGGACATTAATTATGATGGCATCATGATGAGAGCTATGTAAGTTTATCCAAAAATATAATAAAATTATTAATAATTAAAAATATAAGACTCACAAATGCCAAGTAACAACCATCACATATGAACACATAAAAAAGAATCTCTAATTTAAACTATAACTTTGAATGAATCTTGTGCGTTCATGAATTAGTTGAGTAAAAAATACAAACACCTCAAGAGTTGCATTTGTTAATATCTACATCTATATTTGTACGACTATAATAAGTGTAAGTTTTGTTTTATACAATTTTATTTAAATAAAAATCATATATATATTTATACACATATGTTAATATTATGTTTATTTTTCGAGAACTCTTTATAAGAATTGAATTTATTCTTTATAACTCTAAATTTTATTCTTATGAATTTTAGTCTACCTTATATTTATATTTATAATACTTTTAAAATTCAAGATGATTATTTTATAGTTTTTGTTACTAGTACGACCTAAAAATTCAAGTTGGTTTACCATTGCCTATGCAGCATAAATAGAATATATATATATATATATATATATATATATAACAAGCAATACATTATTTACTAATATACGACATAAAATTCACCATTTTATAGGACGGTTCATTATGACAAACAGAGTCCAATAGTTGCATTTTAAGCAAATTAACTTTGTGTGTTCATGAAATAATTGAGATAAAAATATAAGGGTAGAGTACAATAACACGTACAGTTATTTATAAGTTGGCTAATTTTTTGGACAATGACACTTTCTATCAAAATTGTCATCCAAACAAGGTCTTAAATGATTTGAAAAGACAAAATTGTCCCTAATGTTAAAATCAGTTTTATTATAAAATATTAAACAAGTTGAAATGTCGAAATTACACTTGAGTTAATATGAGTCACAAAATGGCGTCAATTTATTATGCTGAAATTCATTAATTTCTTCAAGGAATTGTAATATTCCGATTGTTATGAAATTTTTACCAAAGGTTCCTATTTAGTCTGCATGTCTAGTTACTTTTTGAAAAATTTCATTATTTTTTGGCCAAATAGATTTTTTTATAAAAATTCTACAATTTTCAATTTTTGAAATCAAGTTTTTAATTAATTTATTTGACAGGCTTCTGCACATCAAATCATCACCAAAACTTCCATTTTTATACTTCCATGAGTAAACTTTTCAAAACTTTTTTGTTTGCTCCATTTTAATTTCAAACGAATTTTCTATGAATTTTTTATTCATTGCTATGCAAATTTTTCCTCTAACTCAACACTTCAAGTTCTTTGCATCAAATGTTAATGAGGGGTAGATTGGTCCAATTTATTAAGTTGTAAAGTTAAAAAGTCCACTAAATGGTCAAAAGACAAGTTGATCAATTCCCCATGTGTCATATGTGGCTGGTGGCTATAAGGGGTGTCTTTGTCTACTTTTTCAAACTTTAGATATGTCATTGTCAAAAAAATAGCTAACTAACAGAAGTGGAAGCCCTCATTAACTGCCCAATTCCGGCACAAACCAATAGTTCTCAGTGCTCCTTCCTGCCATTGGAATTCGTCAGTGTCAAAAAAAAGCCAAGAGCGTGGCAACCTAAGACAAAGCCGGAGGCGGGGGGACTCGTTGAAGTAGCCCCCGTTTGTCAGGAATAGGCTAAGCAGAAGAAAGTGAAGCGGTCCCATTTCGTTCAGGCGTATATGACTATTAATATGGCAAACCCAAAATTTAAATATCTCATATGGAAAACAAAAAAAGAACAATTAACCCCAAGGTGTTTCAATCAGAGAAAAAAATAAAATAAAATTACAACATTACCCTAAGGCTCTATTTCATTTAGTTAAGATGAACCTTATTATTTTATAACTTGAAAAACAAAAAAATTTACAAAAGAACTCTTTTATATATTTATTGTGCAGAAAAAGTTAAGAATGAGTAATTACTAAAATTTTACACCACCAAAATTTTCATTTTCATACTTTCTAAAACCTTATAAAGATGATTTATCATTATTATTTTTCATTTATTGTACATAAGTTTGGCCTTAACCACACCAACCGAGAAAAAGAAAAAAATAAAACAAAAAATTTTGGCTTTAACCAAACAAAGCCCAAGGGAGGTGTCATTTACACCTAATATTTATAGTTTTATAAGCTTGTGGAAAAAAATCTAAATTTACCAAAATTAGGAAAAAAATGCTTATATATTTATAAATGCATGTGTTCATAAACATTAATATATATATATATATATATATATATATATATATATATGTATATTTATACAAATTATAGGACCTGTAAATGTTAATAACTTAATGTAACAGTAGCTCCCGCTTTTAACCGTGCGCCAACGCCAGGGGGTGTTTTAGCTGTGAAGCCTCAATTTCTCTCTTTCCTCTCTCTCTATACGTATACATACACACGGGGAACCAAATCTCATCTGCGAAAACCCCTACATCGCCTCTGTATCTCTCACTCTAAATTATTGATTTTCTTCGATCGTTCGAATATCAATTCATCGTTTAGATTTCAATTACATATCAATTGGATTCTCATGTAGACCAAATTATATCGATCTAATAATCTTCAATTTTCGATCTATAAAGGTTAAAGTTGATAGATGTTTATGTAATTTTTGCATCTATATAGAAGATTTAGATACAATTTATGTATGTTATCGGTTTTTTGATCTGTATTGGACGGTGGAGATTTGAAGGGGAAATGGAAAGATTGATGAATGAATCTACCAGAGTTTGAAGATGCCTGGATTAGCGAAGAGAAATGATCATCAATTCAATAATGCTACGACAACGTCGTCGTTTTACTCTTTATCGTGTTCAAATGGATCAGTCTCGGCCAATGGGTTCTGGTCAAAGCATCGCCACGATGTTAGCTATAATCAGCTCCAGAAGGTACTGGATTGACCTATGTTTGTGTTTTTTTGTTATTACTTTAATTGTTTATATAATTTGGAATCATATTACATCATTGTATTGTATATGTTTGTGTAAATTTTGGTGGAATAGATTGAGTAAAATTTGGATCTCATAGCTTAAATAAGAGGATTTAAGTGCGTTTTAATTGGATTTTAGTTCGTGATGTGAATCAGATCCAGTTCTATTGCATTTGCTGTTCATAGTTAGAATGTTTTGTCCGATATATGTGAACTTGTCGCTGGGTTACTATTATTTCAAAGTATAGATTACTTGCCAATATTAAATACAAGATGGGCATATGACACTATTTGGAATTGTTAACTTGTGATGCCTGGAAATATACCATTTTATGCCTTTTACCGAAAACAAGTATATCATTTATGCAAATATGTTTATAATAAAATTGTGCTGTGTTTTAGCAACTATACATTACCTTATATTTTGTTCTGATAGTTTCTACATTAGCAACCCAATGATTCTACTCTTTCTCTCTACATTTTAATGAATGCCATGAGGATAAAAGTAGCAAGTTATTGTGGTTGTTTTGATTCGAGTTTGGAACAGATTGGGTTGCATTTCTATTGCACTTTATATTCAATGGATAACTAATGGAAATGATGTGACTGGATGGTGGTAAAATGCTATGTGCTTGTGATGTAGTTCTGGACTGAGCTGTTGCCCCGAGCCCGGAGGGAGCTTCTGAGGATTGACAAGCAAACCCTCTTTGAGCAAGCTCGTAAGAACATGTACTGCTCTAGGTGCAATGGGTTACTGCTCGAGGGTTTTTTGCAGATTGTTATGTATGGAAAGTCTTTGCAGCAGGATGGAACAGGCAGGCACCTTATTTGCAATAGACTAGGAGCCTCAAAAAATCAAAATGATGGGAATTCTGGTGTGAATCCTGGCTGCCGAGATGACGTTCAAGATCCATCTGTCCACCCTTGGGGAGGTCTGACCACAACTCGGGATGGGACATTGACACTCTTGGATTGCTATCTGTACTCTGAATCTCTCAAGGGACTCCAAAATGTATGTCCCTTTTATTGTTTCGTAGTTCAATGCTTCCTTTTTCCTTTTTCCATGGTAGCTCAAGTTTCACTTGAATCAGGTTTTTGACTGTGCACGAGCGAGGGAACGAGAACGCGAATTGCTTTATCCTGATGCCTGTGGTGGGGGAGGTCGAGGGTGGATAAGCCAAGGAATGTCAGGGTATGGCAGAGGGCATGGAACCAGGGAAACATGTGCTCTACACACTGCCAGACTCTCCGTTGACACATTGGTGGATTTTTGGTCCGCTCTCGGAGAAGAAACCCGGCAATCCCTTCTAAGGATGAAAGAAGAGGATTTTATAGAAAGGCTCATGTACAGGTGTGTGTTTGATTATCTCTCTTTTTTCTTCGTGCTTATATCTAGCTGTTAGTTTAAAAATCAGTAGAGGAATTGTATGGATGGCTGTTGTGCATGCCTGGTGTTATTGTGAAGTGGCTAAATGTGATGATCCAGACAGTAATACATCTTAGAGGAAAAGAGATATATGGTTAATATTTCTTGCAAAGTGAAAAAGCTTTCTGAGCTTTTGATGTTTTCAGTACAAACAATGCAGGTCAGTAAAGTAGGATCAACTATCTTCTGTTGGACCACATCAAAACAGAATAAATTGATAAATAAACAGTTAGGTAGTGGATGACTGCATAAATCCATTTGGACTAAGATAATGGAGCCGTTTCACAACAATGGACAAAGTTAATTTAGTAAATCTTTTATGTAAAAAGAAGAAGGTTGTCAAGAACATGTCATTAAGAAAATTTTCGTTGCAATCAGAAATTATACATGTAAACGAAATTTCATATGAAATAGGATTTTTATGATATATCCATGTGCATATTTAATATGCATATTTTTTTAAGAAAAATGAACTGTAATTGGCTGTAAATTGATTGCGAATGTTGAGATGGATGTGCAGTAAGACTAAAAATGGTAGTATTAAAAATGACCACATTCGGGAGATGGTTGGAGTAGCACCAAATGAAGATAAAATGAGAGAGAATGGGTTATGATGGTTTGGACATGTGCAAAGAAGACCTTTAAGTACATGCTATCATATCTTTATTTACTAACTCTACCCACATTAACTTTGGTCTTCCTCTTCCCCTAGTATTACCCTCAATGTGGACTATGTCACCTTTCCTAATTGACTGTGACTATGGCCTTAAATAGAGCGGAATAGAAACATAGGATTCATGTAGCCGACCCCGAGTAATTGGGAAAACGCTTGGTTGTTGTTGTTGTTGGCTGTAAACTGATTGTCTTGTTTGCAGACTCCCTTAAGATGATATTAATACTTATGTAATGTCATATCTCATTTTTAAAGATCAAGTTGATCAACACACTTCTGCAGTTATTTTCATCAATTGTTCCAATCCACTAATCAGAGTGCTGCGAAAGAGATTGGAGAAAGACATAACCTTTGCAGTATTTTCGTACCAAGTGGATGCTCTTGACTGGAATCTGCATTTAACCGCTTGATGGACTGAGTTTTTACCATTGCACCAAGCAATTACTCCTATTTCTCCGCATTCATATTCTACTAAATTATTCTATTTTCTTTTTGACCACCTCATTTTCTTTTTTACTGTAAAGTTGCACAATGTTTTCTTTCAAAATTGAGGTTTGGATACTTTTAAGATATACAGATTATACATAAGATACTAATAGCGAAAAAGAGGATGTTGACACCAATAGTCATAAAAATATGGCTATGGAACAACAATTCACGCTCTAATCGTAAGTGTGAAAAAATCTGGGAATCATTTCTTCTTCGTTGTTTCATTGGATCTTTTCTTGCTTTATTTTGAAAATCTCATTGGTTATGCAAGATCAGTGTTGAATATGATGTGAGGTGCAATGATGGTGGAAGTAATTGCAAAATAATACGGAAAGGAGTTCCAATATGGCTGCTTTAGTTAGTGATAACAGAAATTTTGGAAATGATGATATTCTTGTCAACATTTCTGCTTTAGAGTTTCCTCTCCTTATCAATCGTTTGGTTTTGTTTTTGGATTTTTGGACTATTTTAGCTTTCATTTTAGCCTTAAATAGCCGTGGTCTACACCACGTTTCCTGAGCTTTCCTCCTATGATAGTCCTTATATCAGAAAAAAGAAGAATAAAACAAATTTATGCTATAGTTGATGAATTGTGGCTTTCTCATGCAGTAAAGCAATTTACTGTTGACTTCTTATAATTCTTATACTCCAAGTAGAACAAATTACGTTATGAAACCTTTACATTATTAAGTTAAAGATAAAAAATAAAATAAAAATAAAAATATGTTATGAAACCTTTACACTATTAAGTTAAAGATAAAATTGTTATCTAGTTTATTCACATTTGGAAGTGGCCGATATAGCAGTTATCTATCCTGAGATCTTTCCAGTGCCCTTCAAGATCCAGTACCCTCATCCATCTACTCTTGCTCTCATGAGTCATGATTAGAAATGTGCATTTTAATTTGAAAAAGATCGCATGCTTGATTATTCTAATTTTCTGAAAAAAATTGTGTCCATGTCACAGGTTTGACAGCAAAAGATTTTGTAGAGACTGCAGAAGGAATGTTATTCGCGAGTTCAAGGAGCTGAAGGAACTGAAGCGCATGCGGAAGGAAACCCGCTGCACCAGTTGGTTTTGTGTAGCCGATACAGCCTTCCAATATGAGGTGTGAGTTTTTAACATTCCCAGTATGTCCACAATAACACGCTTCTCTCTGTAGTGTATGTTCTAAATTGTCTCTGTTGAAGCTACATGTAATTCTCTGTATAGCTGTTCAAACTGTAAACTACTAGACGTGTGATTTTTTTATGAATCGGTTGCATGTTAAAGAACTTTTTCTTATACCTCAGTATAGATGTTGCACCAATGTGATGCGATTTTAGTTTATCCTCTTCTCAGGTATCTCATGACACAGTCCAAGTGGATTGGCACCAAACTTTCTCTGATACTGTTGGAACATACCACCATTTTGAATGGGCAGTCGGCACAGGGGAAGGAAAATCTGATATTGTGGAGTTCCAAAATGTTGGTGCAAGCGGAAGTGTTCAAAAGTCTGGTCTAGATCTTGGTGGTCTGAATGCATGCTATATTACCATAAGGGCTTGGAAAATGGATGGCCGGTGCACTGAAATTTCTGTAAAAGCTCATGCACTGAAGGGTCGACAATGTGTACATTGCAGGCTTGTGGTTGGTGATGGTTTTGTTACAATCACAAGAGGGGAAAGTATCAGAAGGTTTTTTGAGCACGCCGAGGAGGCTGAGGAAGAAGAGGTAGTCAAGTTCTATATTATTTACTACCCTTTTCCGGGGTGTTAAAAAGTTGGATTACTTTATTTGACGTGTTCCATCATGATCTTTCTTCTTATTTTACACAACTCTAATGCCGTTTGCCGTTTTCCGTTTTCACTCTTCTTTTTCTTCTTCTTCTTTTTCTTCTTCTTCTTCTTCTTTTACACAACTCTAATGCTGTTTTCACTTTTAGGATGATGAGTCCATGGACAAGGACGGAAATGAGCTGGATGGAGAATGCTCCCGTCCCCAGAAACATGCAAAGAGTCCTGAACTAGCTCGAGAATTCCTTTTAGATGCTGCAACTATTATTTTCAAGGAACAGGCACGTTTACTCTACTGACTGTTGTGTTTTGTGGACAATTATTCATTTTTTGCTTTTGGTTTGCTCTTTAATATGCTCTGGTGGCATCCTGATTACCTTGGAACCAATAAGAATGGTGACAATGCTGCTCATGTTCCTGAATATTGGCTTTGTGCTCCAGTATGCTAATATTTAACAATCCTCCTACTCAGAGGATGACAGTTCTAATAATTGGTTGTATATGTAATGTCCTTGTTGCAAATGGAAACTTGAAGTAAGGATGGAATGAACAATCCTTGGTCACAAGACAGTGTTAGTGGGATGCATACATGACATTATGTCCAGATTGGCGAGTCAAGTACATAGACTATCTCTTGGTCTTTTGAGTGTGAAGAATTACTGACTAATCAACATTGGTCGCTGAATGCTTTAGTGGTCTGGCTGCCAATGAACTAAAAGGCCCATAAGAAAAGTGGGGCCTGTTGCTCCACTGTTGATATTTCTGAATACGACTGCATGCAATTATATGCTTGTGCATGTGTAGAAATAGCTTTTCGACAACTAATGCTGTTTGACATTCTTTACAGGTTGAAAAGGCTTTCAGAGAAGGAACAGCGCGTCAAAATGCACACAGCATTTTTGTTTGTCTTGCACTAAAACTGCTGGAAGAACGTGTTCATGTTGCATGCAAAGAAATAATTACATTAGAGAAGCAGGTATCAGTAATTCTGATATTCTACCTTGTACACACATAAAATAAAACCAATCTTCAAATTTTCGAGTAGTAGTTCTGACTCCTGATTGATTTGTTTCCACAGACGAAACTTCTTGAAGAAGAAGAGAAAGAGAAGCGTGAAGAAGAAGAACGCAAGGAGAGAAGGAGAACGAAAGAGAGAGAGAAAAAGCTCCGAAGAAAGGAAAGATTAAGGGGGAAGGAAAAGGATCTGGAGAAGAAATCTTTGGACTTGAACCATAGCCCTGACGCTCCTGATATCTCAAAGGATGAATCATCACCTAGTGTTGACGAAGAGCCTAGAATTTCCAGCAACACGAATTTAGTTAGTGAAACAGGTGATACTATTCCATCCAGGCCCCTATCCCCAGATGTTCAAGATGAGCATTTCCCAAATGGATCTATCATTTCCAGTGAGCAAAACTTTTCTGATGATAGTCCTGATGTGGAATTCACCAGTGTGGAAGATGGGAAAGGTTCATTCACTGATCACCCAAAAGTTTCTCGTCGGAAACTGAAATTTTGGAAAGAATTTCAGCTAGATTCAACCTCGAAATGGTCTGATAGACGGCGCTTTGCTGTTGTTTCAGAAAGTGGGGGTATGATTAGTAAATATGAGCCAAGATATCATGGTGATAGTTCAGAAATTTCAAGGAGTATCAATGGATTGAATAAGCAATTAAGAAATATTGCTCCAAAATTGAACATTAAAAATGGTGGTCCTAGGTTCAGTGAGAAGTTTTCTTGTTCCAATAACAGGACTAATGACAGATATGACATCTATGCTTGCAGCTGTAACCAACATAATGATTACAGAGGAAAGGTGGAGGCGCATGTTTCCACAAAGAGGGTAGGTCGTGATATCAGATCTGCGAGTAAATCAGAATCTGCATCAGATATGTCCAAGCCATTTTATCGTGGTAACAAGTACAGTCCAACAGAAGACATGCGTGAAAGTTGTGGGAGACTCAGAAGCAAAATTATCACAGCAAACAATCTTTCTACCAGAGACTTACCTCACATCAAGAAGGTTTGGGAGCCTATGGAATCACAGAAAAAGTATCCGAGGAGCAACTCAGACTCTGATGTTACCTTGAGGTCATCTACTTTTAAGGTTGAAGGTAATGAACCTAATAATCTTCTCAAGTCAGATGATTCCGTTTGTTCTGACAAAGTTGCTGGAAATTTGGATGAATTCGTTCATGCGAATAACTATTTAAAGGAACCAAGAAATGCTAGCACTGGAGTGGACAGAAATTGCCGGAATGGGTTCCACATGGCAGCAAAGGTCCCTAGCTACTCAAAGGAAGCAGTTGATGAGGAAATTGAACCAACTCAACTTACTACCTCTTCCTTAATTGGAACGACAGATTTATCTATCAGTGGCACTTCCAATTCTGATAACTGTTCATCATGTCTTAGTGAGGGAGACAGCAATACTGCCTCTTCAAATGTCCCAAATCCTGAATCATCATCCACATCAGATTCAGAAGATGCTAGCCAACACTCGGAAGGAAGAGAAACATCAGTATGCACTCAAAATGACTTCCCTGAATGTCATGAAGTTACAAGGGAGAAAAAACAGAGTACAGATGGAGGGGAGCCTTTTAGTAACAGAGCATTATCAGGATCTTCACCAGAAAGCGCTGGAAGTAACTTTCAAGGAAAATTACCAACAAAAGCTGCCCAAAATCCTGATAATGGAATAACAAATGGTCGTGTGGATTCTCAACATCAAGGCATGCTTCCGCCAATGCATAATCAGAGCATACCCTTTCCAATGTTTCAAGCTCCTACTGTGGGCTATTACCATCAGAATCCGGTTACCTGGCCAGCTGCTCCTGCTAATTCATTAATGCCCTTCCACTATCCCAACCACTATGTATTTGCTAGCCCTTTTGCATATGGTTCAAATGGGAATTTAAGCTTCATGCAGTATGGTGCCGTACAGCACATAAGTCCTCCCCTATTTAATTCAGGTCAGGTGCCTTATTACCAGCCAGTTGCCAGAGCAAATGACATGATCTCAGAAGAGCTGACCAAGATTTCTAAGCAAGGTGGAGTAGAAGAATCTGAAGCTACCATGGAGAGGCCAGTTCCAATAGAACATCCGATGGAAGCACAATCAGGTGGAAACGGTGTGTCAAATGGAAACTCTGACAAATCGCACATGGGAAATTCAGGCTTTTCCCTCTTCCATTTTGGTGGCCCTGTAGCTCTTTCAACAGGAGAGAAGTCAAATTCCATGCCTTCTGAAGAAGGAAATACTGGGGATTCAAATTCAAATTCAAGTTCATCACCAGCTAATGTTGAGGGTGATAATGGTTGCAATAAGAAAGATACTATTGAAGAATACAACTTGTTTGCAGCGAGTAATGGTTTAAAATTTTCGTTCTTCTGATATAGTATTGAGAAGGTATGAGGTGACTGTTTGAGATTTCAGTCCCTATCCGCTTCTTATTCAACAGAAGTTTGAGCACTTTGTTTTCGTTCTTCTGATATAGTAATGGGAGTTTGAGCACTTTGTAATTTGGTAAACAATAATCTTCCTCCGGAAAAAAATTTTCTGTCTTAGTTGATTGGTTTATTTGATTTGTTTTGTCTCATTATTTTGCTGATGTTGAGAAAGAGAAAAGTTGAGATTGGTATAATGCCTAAAAGTTTTCTGTATGGCGTCAGTTTTTATTATATAATGAAGCACTTGATTGCATCTTAAGTTTCAGGTTGCAACAGAAGCCATTCCATCTCAAGTTTCAATTAGAAAATTCAAATGCTCCCAAACATGTCAGTAAATCGTCAAACATGGTTTGAGATTTGTGTGTGTTTGTATGTGTGTGTGTGTGTGTTGTTGTTGTTTTGGTTATGCCAAGGTGTTTCCAACTCCTTTGGCATACATATTCTTACAGGTGCAAAACCCCTGGATAATAAACACTTGCAGACGCTTGCACTATCTTTTAATCGCTATGTCTGCTTTTGTTTATGTCTCTCATGTACTCTCTCTTTTTGTTTACAAGGAATTCTTAGCTGTTATCACCTGCTTTGCAATCTAAACCAACAATATCAATTAGCAGCCTTCGTTTATTTTGCTTCTTAAGACAAGTTTGCAAAGCACTTGTATCATAATGATCTCTGCCCTGAAGGATGACCAGTAGTATATTTTGTATGGTATGGATGACAAAATGGAATAGCATTGTTTTGTGATCATTGTTCTTTCTCAAATTTATCCACTTTAGGCTCCCCAACAACCCCTGTAGGACTTCAACCCTTCACTTTTGCCACCAAAGGGGGAGTAAGAGAGACCATTTAGAGACTAATACTCAACTAAAAGTCTTGATTTATCCAAGTGGAGCCATTTCTGTGTGCATCTTCTATTAAATTCTGGCCTCTCATTGAACATCATGTCTCACAGCTTTTACCCATATTCTTGTTGGTCTATATCCTTAAAAACGATTAATTCACAACATTTTAGCATTTTGGTTAGCCTTTTCTCATCTTCATTTCAATTATATTAACTTTTCCCACACAAGCATTCATTTTAGGTATCTAGTATATTTTCTTGGCTGGAAGCATGCCTTATTCATCTCAACATTTCATTTCTTCTAAACTTAATATTGTTCATCTTTTTATCACAATGCCTTACACTTCATTGAGCACATGCATGTGAAAAAGCAAAGTGAGGGATAGCATTAGTAAGGAGCAAAAGACTTGGCCGGAACCTAAACACCGGTTTGGACCCCCCTTAGAAATTTGAGCAGAACATATTTATTGGTATTGTTCCAATTAAATAACAGATCAAAATATTTGGTCACCAAAAGAGATGTTGGGGCCAGAAATCATAACTTACACAGCTGATCCGATCTCTAGAATTTAGCATTTATGAGAAATGCACAGTTATAATGTTGAATTTACTTTCAATTCAAATTCACGTGTACTGTAATCGGATAGGAATGAATTCGCATCCAACCACGCCACAAAAGGATCAGAGATGCCAAAAACATCATGAAATAAGCAAATCCGTTCTTCAATTTGTACAAAATTGCTACACTATCAACTCTTCAAAAATATTGTACTCGGTAGTCAGTTTTGAAGATGTCAAACTACTAGGCCTTGTTCTTTCCCACAAACTTTAAAACAGCAAGGTAGAAATCAGGTTCATCTACAAATTCAACTATCTCAAAAGAATGATCTGCGGCAACATTCTGCAAAGACATCTCGTCAGGTAAATCCGAAATTACCACATCAGGGAACTGCCTTTGTTGCTGCTCTACCACTTCCCTTCCCTCGGGATAACTGATAACAAGTCTTGCACCTGCAATATATTGTCCATCCATATATCAATGCATATAAAAAGAAAAGGCCTTGGTATCACCATTCAAGTCCCACCTTTTTAATTAGTTCATTTTGAAACACAAACACACATGCATGAAACGATACACAAATGCAAATAAACAGGGCTTCACCTAGACCGTCTCATTGTAATCAAATAAAAGATGACAAGGCCGCCTAGTTTCTAAGTCAATCAAATTGGAAGAATTCCAAAAGAATCAACAAGGCGGTTCTAAGTAATGAGATTAGCTTGTGGGTTACAAATTATAGATGAGGTCTCTGCCTAACTATTTTATTTAGGTTTGAGATTGAAGGTTTGTACACAATCAGTAGTCAAGCTTTCAACAAGTTAGGTGTTCAATGTACCAAAAGAAGGAAATACAAATATAAATATAAATGAAAAGCCAAAAATACATTAACTTAATCACAAAATTACCTGGCAAACATTGTTTGGCAAGTGCTCCGAAAATCTGACCAAGTTTAAAAGGCAAAGCCGGCAGGAAATAAAGATACACCACATCAAAAGGTGCCCATTTTTCTGGCACATATAACAGTTCCCCTTGCCAACACTTGACCATGTCATATTTTGCTTTGATGTTGGCTAGTACAAAAATGGAGTCATGGACTACAAGCAACATCTGGCAAGGTGATGAGTCAACTATTCGATCCACAAATCCTTTGGAACCAATTGAAACCAAAACCTTTGAAGTCTCTCCAATCCCTCCTGCGGAAATTATCCGATCAGTCTTCTGATTAAGCTCTCCATCAGAATTTGTTTCATCGGACTCAAGAAACGACCAATCTTTCTCCTTGAAATCATCCATACTAATCATAGAGATTGCTCCTTCATTTGAGGGAATTGTAGCACCAATTGAAGACTGACGATTGCGTAAGGAATGAAATGAAATGAAGGGGGATCGGAGTGAAAGAGAAGAGAATTTATGACCGGAAGAATAGTCATTAAAACAGCAACTATAACGAGGCTGTATACGAAGACAAGGTTTGGATTGATGTAGAGTTGGTAGAAGGGAGAGAGAGGAGGGTAAGAAAATACAATTCATTGCTTTAGGGCACAAGTTCATTTCTGAAAATCGACCACACGAATATGGGCAATTCTTCAAAGTGTTGCTCAATTATCTGAAAGCAGATACAACCCAGCAAACTGGAAAATCTTAGTAGCTAGCAGAAAATAAAGCAAAGGCAATTCCGTAGTATCAGTGACACAAATTCTAGCCATAACAAATGCCTTCACTTTTTTTTTTGGCTCAAAATAGTTAGTAAGACAGACGAGGGGAAGCGGGTTGCTAATTCGTTTGGTTGCTAAGAAAACGTGAGAAAACGATAATTTTTAGCTGATTTTAGTTTCTAGTGAATTAGTTTACTATGGTGCAGCTCTTTATTTTCACAGTTTTGCATAATCAAGAATCTGAGGTTCACAATTCAACATCACATTCTTTCCCAGGTTTTCACAGAAACCAAACAGAACTTGAGTTATTCCATGTACGAATTGAACCCAGCAAAAAAATGAACCAAATAGAACAGCAGTGATAGTATTTAATCATCAATTTCATACAAGCCAAACAAATAGAGGACCACAGAGTGAGAGAAGAAAAGAAAATTGACACAGTTTTCAAAGAAAATCAAGAAAAAAAAAAGAAATGTGTAAGCTTTTATTGCAATATGATATCACAAAAAAGAGTTTTGAGAGCAAACCTTTGAGTGCTTGAACAGGGTAGCTCAGAAGTGAGAGAGTATGACTTATCTTCTCTCTCAGAGAAAAGCCCTAATGAAGAACAGAACGGAACACACAAGCATGTCCTGAACCTTAAGCATGCTTGGTCAGTGACTTAGTATTGGGGTGGATTGGGCCAGGCTTAGGCCCAATCTATGGTCAAAATGCTGAGTGGGCTAGTTGGACTTCGAGGTGTTGAAACACAAGCTTTGGTTGAGTTGGACTAATTTAAATTGATGGGGCTTGTTAAGCCTAGACCAAAAATGCAGTATCATTTTTTTTTTTTTAAATTTGTTTTGGATAAATAGCAAAAAAAAAAAAAAAAAAACACTCAATACTGTTTGACTTTTGGGACTAGTTTTCCTGGAATAAATTTTGTGCCGAGTATCTTCTCATCCGCTTAAAAGTTACAAAAACATCCTTGTTGTCACATGCACGCTAATCTTTAAATTGATTTTCTTTTTAATAAGATCGTTCTAATAAAGCAAGGGAACAATTCTCAACTTTTAGATGGGCGGGGTGCGTCTGGTATGAAATTTAGTATTAGTTGTATAGAAAAGAAAAAAAAAAAAAAAAAAAAAAAACATCCATTAACAAGCTCACAAACAAGAAGCAAGTGTTTTATATATATATATATTTTTATTATTATTAAGTGACAACTGACAACAAGCAATTACAAAGGAAATGGTGAAGAATATGATATAAAATCAGATTTGTTGATATTCAACGTATTCAAGTGATTTAAAGACGTTAAGCTTGCCCCTTAGACTGGTTGTGTTTGATAAACATATTTAAACATCTTATTATATATGTTCTATTTGCAGAACAAACTAAGCTTAACTACATTGTCAAACAATGTGATTACTGTAATTCATTGGTTTACATTTTTACTTGATTTAGATTTACTTTCTATGATCCTCAAATACCACCCATTCACTTTTGTACTAGAAGACTAGTAGTGGAGAATCACCTTTGTTCAAGCTACAACTACCAACATATGTGTGTGTGTGTGTGTATATATATAGTAATAATGCATTGATTGATCAAGTTGGTAGGGTATTTTGATCTCATTTACTAAGATCCAGTAGTACAATTCATAGTAGATACGCTTGCTTGGGCAGGTATGCCATTTGCATCAATATGCAAGAAAGTGCACAAAAAGGTATTACAAGTTGACACATTTTAGTTCACACCAAAGCATATGTTATTGTTGTCACTTCATGAAATTACCATTCCTAAGAAGTAAGAACTGAATAATCCTAGTTTCCTATGCATACATTTTCTCAACCTCACCACCTACTTAAAAAGGGCTGATTTCTCAACCACCATAACATAATTGGCACTCTCAAAATCAAGGCTGGCTGTCTGGGAGTCTGCTGAGAACAGAGTGCTCTGGCTTGTGGTCACACTCGTAATCAAGATGAACGAATGCTCGTTCAACTTCAGGGAGTTCTTCAATCTTGATCTGCAGTGATTCTCCAATAGCGTGGGCTTCTATCAATGGCAGATCTTCGGGCAGTTCTATGTCAACCTGTTTTTCACAGAAGAGGAAGCACATGATGAATTAATGAAACAAAATTATTGAGTTTTTAGTGCATATAGCATTTGAAGTTTGAAAGTTCTTAGTTATAAGTGAAATCACTCACATAAAATATATAGAATGTGAATTAGACCATTGCTTGAAATTATAATATGTCCAAAAAATATGATGAAAATAATGAAGGAATTTTTCAATTCTATATGCAATTAGAATAAATGGGTTGCTTGTCAAGCTAGCATTGTTGCAACTACTAACAATATATATTCTCTATATATAACAAACATATATCTATAAATCAATTTAACAAGCTAACCTCAACAAAATATAAAACACCAAAGGTGTAGGCTCGGACTGTATCAACGCGTTTGATTTGAGGATGGTGGCCTAGGACCAGGTACGTCAGTTTCTGCAGAACTTCCGGGGGAGCTGATTGTCCAACTAGGGAAACTACATGGAAAAGAAAAGAGTAGATATGGTCATAAACTTTGGATATTGTAGACTTGCACATGGACAGAAATTCTCTGTGAGAAAAAAAAAAAAAAATGTAGTTCTCAATTCACTTAAAATTTTGACTAGGAAAAAATGTCATCATTTGACATAGACCACAAAAAGATGACAAACCTAAGGTATAGTTGCTTAGACGATTAAGTCTTCACCGTCAAATTCACCAAAATTACAAAATATAGGAGATGAGATTTCCTTTATAAAGGGGACTTTGAGGAGTCTCAATGAACACGGGACAATAAAATGAGAGATTTATGACAGTGTATCTGGAAATCTCATCAGTAGCTATTTGTTTCTCTTCTATATGCTAAGAATAACATGAGAGTGTTAGTGTGTGTGATGTGATTTCTAAGAGAGTGAAGTACCTGCATTTTCTAGTACAGTTCCTGACCAATTTGTAATTGTATAAACAGCCAGGATTATAGCACCCGCAGGGTCAATCCACCAATAGAATGTATCACCAAGAACAGCAGCAACCAAACCGACTACATTTGTTACCACGTCAAAATAATGGTCCTGATGATCATCCATAGATAATTTAGTGAACAATCAAGCAGTAACTAATGCAAAATAGATGTGACAGACGAAGTATACATTTACTGATTTATTTCAAATTAGTTTAGTACAAACCTTTGCATATGCACGGACAATGTCGTTTACTGAGCTTCTGCAGTAAATCCAAAGAACAAGTTTTACTCCGGTAGCTGTCAGCATAATTGCATACAACCAAACCAGTTGTTCTGTACTCATCTTTGCAGAAGGATCATTTTCAATCAGTTGCTCTACAGCCTGGACCAGCACTTGAAAGCCTGCATTAATTCGAAGGGACTACAGTGTTATGGCAAAGGAAATGTGGTATACTTACAAAATATGTACAGGCCTTTCAAAACTCTTCAGGGTTTAATATATTCAAATAGAATTTAGCTTCCCAAGGGTTTTTTTATTTTTTTATTTTTGGGATATTATATGTTGGACTATTTAAATCTGCCAAGAAAATTGATAGGACTAGGACCATTGAAGATTTTGAGGCTATTTAGCGTTCCTGTTATTTTGAGGGGGCACTGAGAAATACAGAGAAATTGGAAATTGTACTATTTCATTACAAATGTAATTTTCCTAGAAATCCTTTTGGAATTATTTTCTATATATGTCCAACCATGAACAAACTGCGTGAAAGAGAATACATACATTTTACTGAGTAAGGACTATGAAAGCGATCTTTATACAATTAAAGTTAATTGTTTAATTCCAGTTAGATCATAAAACATGTACTGAATTTTTCACATGGCACTATATATGAATTCTCTCAATAGCCTTTCCAAGCGATACATACAGATTGGAAGCAGGTCAGGGTGCAATGACATACGTACCAAGAGTAGCCATGACAGCAGCAAAGATGATAATGCCTACTGGTTGCACTCTCAATTTTCCGATAGGGTATTTGTAAATGTTTATGTTTTTCATCGACAAGTGTGTGAACCATAGAATACCACCAGCCATAAGATCAAGCAGAGAATCAAGAGTGGATGCCGCGATGGCCAAGGATCCACTCCTTACTGTAGCATAAATCTGCAATTCATAACAAACATTTCTATCACTTGGAGTATTGAAAAAAGAGAAAATAGCCACACACAAAAAATTGCTATGCAAAAATGAACTCAACGGAAACTCTGACTAGGAGAAATAAAAGATGATACCCTTTGAATGCAATTTATAACCAGAATCATCAAGTCAGATTGTAATATCAATTCTATAAAATACTGAGTGACTTTATGTGGACACTTATATTGTGCAAAGACCAAAGTGTAGGCTAGGGGGTATAAGAAAAATTTTGGGATTCTAGAGAGAGGAAATAAGATTACCTTAAATGCCAGTAAAAAAATATTTGCCCAGTTAGAAATGTTCATTGCTCTTTCATGATGGGCTTGTTCTACACGATCTTGAGCTTCATCGATGACTTGGGATGAATCCAGAGAGTCAACTTCCTCGAAGGATTTCAAGGTGGCAAATTGTTTTTCATAGTATTCTTTCTCCCCTGATCATACAAATTAACAGAAACTATATGAACAATCAGGGAGAAAAAAATAATTTCTATATCTAAATCAACGTTAATACATGGCATAATCAATTAGCCATCACATAAAGTAGATTAATGTCACTATAACTTTATAATATTGTGATTAATTTCTAAAGTGGTTGAGGCTTTTCTAAATCTATTTAAGCTATGGTCTAAAATGGTATAACATTGCGATTCATTTGAAAAAGAACTCACAGCAGGAAGGAGAGTGAATAAACATGATGAAAGACAGTAAACTATAGTCTAATTTTCTGATTTGGAGAAAACAAATAAATTGATAAATCATATACCCAAAAGTGTAGTTAGTAATAATACACAAAAGATATTTACAGGGAAACACACACACAATTAATAAACAAAAGAGAGAAATTACATGGAAAATGCAAGTCTTACCTCCTATTAAACCAGTAGTTTTAGAGAGGTCAACATGAAAAGGAGTCTCAGGATCAAGGCCAGACCGGACCTTGTCTGGCAATCTAGAGAAGAAATCACCTCTGAGAGAAGCAACGGAGTAATTTTTTTGTTTGCACTCTTGACCTTCACTGGACAGCAATGGAGTTTTGACATCCATTTCAAACACACAAATCAAATAGTACTAAAAACACTTCTCTGCAACAAAAACAAAAAATGAAGTCAGTTCCTAATTAACAATAAACTCGGATTTGAACTGAAGAAACTTTCTACAAACACTTTGTGGGCACATGCCCCACTAATTTAATTAACAGCCTTATTGAAACAACCTAAAATGTAAAAACATTAAATTGAAAAAACACTTTTTTGAAATTGAAACAACAAACCCACCAATCTAACTGCCAAGAACAACCACTCAATGAATTATGAACAGACAAAGAACATGGATTCGGAAGATTAAATTTGCCTCTCTTGAACAGAAGAGGTAAATATAATCCATAAGGTATCAAAAACAATTCCAAAGAAAACACACAAATCTAACAACTTTATATAACAACTATTGGCCAAATGGTAGAAGAAGCCAAGAGGGTGCGTTTAAGAGGAAACAACAAAGTGGAACAGAGAGGTACTTTAAATGCATGAAACATATGTAAATTTCAATTACTTCAATTGTTTTTTATTCTGTAAATTGTCTCTTTATCATTGTTATCAGCTAATTGACGATGGTGATTAATTGACACTTGGCTGGCTTCTGGACAGGTCTATTAGGTTATGGGCAGCACCTGATCTTTGACAGACGCCATGGCATATGGGGCCAGAAATATTTTGACTTGGTCTGCATGGTTATGGGCAACTGTTTTGTTTGGCATTCTGTGATGTCACTTTGAGCTTTATTCGGAAAAAAAGAAAAAAAGAAAAAAAAATACCAAGAGAAATGATAAGAATCGAAATTAGTAACTACTACTTCATTTTTTTTCACATATATACATACATATATATATATATATATATATATATATATATATTATACGGAGTAGATAATACTTGGGTGCTCTAACCAAGTCCCAATGTCGCTCAAAACCAATTTAGACTTCTCCCTTCTCCCTTCTCCCTTCTCTCCACAGCAAAGTATATCTATTTTTTTTTTTTTTTTTACGTATATATATATATATATAAACAGAAAGATTGCATTGTATATATATAAAATACGGAGTACTACTATATATTTTGTCTTGGCAACATCAATTGCCTATACATTGTTAAGAGTGACCCATTTAGAGGACGAAGTCAGATCAAATAATTGATAAGGAGATAAGTAATCCAATGAGAAGAAGCAAGACAACGACTAGATGGCGAGGGTGTCTGCCTGCTCGCCATAGATCTGGATTTCTTGTCCTTCGCTCTGGCCCCAGAGCACGGATGTTCCTTTGGGACATTTGCGTAATTCATCAATTTGTATAGGAATGTAATATATAATTTTTTTTTAAAGTCGTAAGGGAGTTTTTCTTGTTGGTGAAAATTATGATTCATCATCACGGGAAAAAAAAATCAGTTTATAAGAATTTGGGTAAAGTCCATTTTTTATTTTTAAAATTTTTAAATAAAAATCTAAATTATATTGAGTCAGGTGAGTTCAAAAGATGAACTTATCACATCAATTCAAAAAATGAACTTATCTCCTGAAAGAGAACCCAAATATTATCTATTAGATTATATAGCATATATTATTAAGTTCTTATTTTATTCTTTTTTCATTTCTTTTCTCTTCATTATTTTTCAAACAAGAAGAAAAAAAATTATGAGAACATGATAAGGAGTCGTCACTGATTCCCTATTATCTTCTGTTTTTTAAGAAAACTTTACAAATACATAATAATAGTTCTTAACTTAATGAATAATGCTTAATTACTTATTAGTGAGTTAAAATGTTCAACTAACATCTTTTGCATAAAAAACTCTTAAAATTTGAAAAAATTTAAACTTGATAAACAGAAGTATTGTATTAGATGTCTATTAATACAATACTTCTGTTTTTCCTACTAGCGCCCCTCTGTGTGCTTATCGAATCGTCGTGTTGTAAATAATGCTTGGAATTTAGAGATTCAAAATTTGAGATTCTTGTGCCAAAAAAGGTCGCGATTCATTGAATGTGAGATATTCAAAATAATTGTACTAGTAGCCTAGTTGGTGTTTGTATTTATTGTAGTGGTGGGCAAACCATAATTGAACCTAATGAATGTTGTGACAAAAGCATTTACTGGAGTTGACTTCCCTCTTCCAAGTTCATAAAAGCTAGACAAAATTTCAAAATGAAAAGGCATCTCTTTACCCCATGTGCAAGGAGTGTTTATGTATATACTTACATATATGTACGTCATGCAATTAAGAGCCGTTGAATACCACATATCATGACTCAAGCCAAATCATTTTTTTTTTTTTTTTTTGTGATGAGGTGTGGGAATATTAAATGTAAACCAAATTTGTGTTTGGGTAAGAGAAGATGTTAGAAAATGAAAGAAAGTGATTGATTGGTTTCTTGTATACGCTACGTAACGAGATGTTTGTTCTTTTGTATTTCTGGAAAAATCTGGAAAAAAGTAAAAGACTATTTCAATAAATTTTCTTGCATTTTCATTAATGCATTATGAGTTTCGAGATGATTTTAGGAAAACACATTTAAGAAATCTTAACATAAAAAAATGTGACAACTACAGTATTAAACTATATAATCATATTCATTATTGTCAAATAAATAAAGAAAATCAATTATATATATATATATTAGGTTGTGATGTAACATGCATCACTGTAACACAAAATAAATGAAAAGAAAATTCCACCCTAGTCTTACTTTTGAATCCCAAAGACAAATAAATCCTAAAAAAATTTATAAAACAAAGAAGTTTTACTTTACATAAATATTTTCAATCAAGTCCTAAACTAAATAGAATTTCTATTTTACCCTTTCCACATTCCCTCTCCCTCTCAATCCATTTTCTCCCTTAAGCAATCCTACATCAAATCAAGAAAAAAAAGACGAGCAAGAAGCAACCAAACAATAGAGAGCAGGAAATTAAACATCAACAACTAATTAATTTAATTATAAGATCCAATTAGTGAGAATAAATTAACCATATATACACGCACAAGGCGGTGGCAATGTCGTCGCTGCACATCACCGGTCGCCATTAATAGACAAACAGAGTAAAAGAATAGCCATTTTGCTTCGCATTCATTCAGTCAATATATAGATACAAAATACAGGAAATTCATTTCGCATTCATTTTGCCATTAATTGGCTCTTATCTATTATGCCCCCTCAAGTTGGAGGTCAGTTGAAGACTCCAATATTGCTTTTTAAAGAAAGAAACCGTGTTCGTGGAAGAGCTTTAGTGAGTGCATCTGCAAGCTAGTCTTCACTGGAAACATAAGCAACACGAAGGATTCCGGATTGAACTTGATCACGGATGAAATGAAAGTCAATAGCCACATGCTTCATCCGCGAATGGAAAACTAGATTGGAGCAGACATAAGTGGTCCCGATATTGTCACAATAAATTACAGGAGACCGAGAAAGAGAAACACCAAGCTCAGTTAAGAGAGAGCACACCCAATTGAGTTCTGCAACTGTATTCGCAACGGATCGATACTCAGCCTCAGTGGTGGAACGTGAAACAGCACGTTGCTTTTTGGAACTCCAGGAAATTAGATTTCGACCGAGATAGACAATATAAGCACCAGTAGAAGAAAAGTTTTCTATGTTCCCACCCCAATCTGCATCGGAAAAAACATGTAAAGAGAGTGGTGAATCACGGTAGAGAAGTATTCCATCATTAATCGTACCACAAAGATAACGAAGAAGCCGTTTAACAAGAACCCAATGATCTGTGGTTGGCTGATGCATGTACTATGACAATTTATTGACGACAAAAGCTATGTCTGGCTGTGTGAGCAATAAGAATTGCAAGCTACCAACAACTGCTCAATATTCAGAGGGATCCGAAAGAGATGAACTTGAACATAAAGTGATTGGAGGACTGGTAGGTAAAGGTGTGATAACAGGTTTGGCGTCAAGTATTTTAGTGCGAACGAGAAAATCTAAAATGTACCGTCGTTGAGAGAGTAAAAGACCATGAGTATTTGGTATAACTTCCACGCCTAAGAAATATGATAGCGGCCCAAGATCTTTAATTGAAAATTGCTGAGATAACAAAATTACAAATTTTTGAACCAAGGAATCATTGTCACCCGTAAGAATAATGTCATCTACATAAACTAGAAGATACATAAGGTGACTACTAGTTTTGAGAACAAAAAGAAAAGTATCAACATGAGAATTCTGAAATCCGGAAGTAAGAAGAAATTTGTGAAGCTCATGGTACCAGGCTCGTGGAGCTTGCTTGAGCCCATAAATTGCTTTTCTAAGCTTACAAACATAAGATGGATAGTCAGGATTAATAAAACCTGGTGGTTGTGACATATAGACATGGTCAGAAAGATGGCCTTGCAAGAATGCGTTGTTGACATCAAGTTGGCGGAGAGACCACCTATGACTAACAGCAAGGTTAAGAACAAGATGAACTGTAGTAGGCTTAACCATAGGACTAAATGTATCATGATAGTCAACTCCTGGGTGTTAGTGAAAGCCTTTTGTAACCAAACATGTTTTGTACTTGTCAATAGAACCATCAGAATTACGTTTAGTGCGAAAGATCCACTTACAACCAACAAATATTGTGGCTAGAAACAGAAGGTACTAGCTTCCATGTTCCATTCCGAACAAAAACATCATATTCTTCAGAGGGTGTGGATGTGGATACGGGTATAGGTTGCGGATTGGGGCATGGTAGGGTAATGGTTGAATATGATGGTTGAGGTAGCGTGTTTATGGTTGAAGGTAATGTTTCGGTAGAAAGTGATAGTACCGCGCACTGGGGTTGTCCGAAAGGTTGCAAGTTCGATAGGGTGGCATCTGGCAGCGAAGATGATGGTGGCAATGAAACAGTGCTAGGGGGAGGAATCCAAGTGGATACAGTATCATGTTGTGGACGAGGAGATTAAGTGGAGCGTGTACGAAAATGGAACACAGACTCGACAAAATTGACATGCCTAGAGACATAAGTTTTTGAAGTGGATGGATGGAAACATAAGTATGCACTATGAGTAAGAGAGTAGCCTAGAAAAACACATGATTTAGAATGAGCATTAAGTTTATGGGAAGAATAAGGATGAAGCCAAGGATAACATAAACAACTAAAAATCCTAAGCTTTGAATAGTTTGGGGGTGTGCCAAAAAAATTTTCAAAGGAGGAAGATAGATTAAGTGTTGGAGTTGGCATTTTATTAATTAAGTAGAATGCAGTAACAAAGGATTGAGGCCAAAAAGTTAAGGTAGTGAAGCATGAGTGAGTAGGGAGAGGCCTGTTTCGACAATATGACGGTGTCTTCTTTCAGAGTAGCCATTATGTTCAGGAGTGTGTGGAGGAGTAGTGAGATGAGAAATTTCATCGGTAGCAAGAAAATTGGCTAAAGCAAGATATTCACCACCATTATCCGAATAAAGTGTTTGAATTTTAAGTGTGAAGTGTTTTTCAACAATAGCTTTAAATCTTATAAAGACATCTTTAACTTCAGATTTGTGTTTTAGAGTGTAAAACCAAATGTATTTAGTGAAGTGATCAACAAAGATGACATAATATTTAAAACCATCATGTGATAAAACAGGTGAAGTCCACACATCAGTGAAGATTAGTTGAAGAGGTTGTGAAGAAATAATAGAGGAAGTAGAAAAAGATAGTTTATGGCTTTTATTGCATTGATAAGCATTACATAAAAAATTGGAGGACAAATAAGTAGATAAATCTAATTGATAGTGAGAAACGGTGTGTTTTAAAATTAGAAATGCTGGATGTCCTAGTCTATGATGCCACTCAGATGAAGTTGTCTTAATACTAGAAAATGTTAACAGAGGAGAAGTTTTTGGAGACGAGACTGGCCATTCATACACCCCATCTTTCATTTGACCCTTCAAAGTATTGCCCCTATGCGAAGTTCCTTCACAATAAAGGAAAAGGGTAAGAATTCAATGGATACATGATTTGAAAGCCAAAATTGCGAAATGGAGATTAAATTTTTCTTCATGTTAGATACAAAAAGAACATTGTTTAATGTAAAGGTAGTGCTAGGAGTTTTAAAAGAAGTGGAACCAATGTGAGTGATGAGGAGACCCGTGCCATCGCCGATCATGATGTCGTCGAAACCGGTGTAAGGTGTATGAAGGGATAGATTGCTCAAGTCGGCAGTGACATGGTGAGAAGCACCACTGTCTAGTAGCCACGTTAGAGTTTGAGAGATATATGGGGTTGACTTCACTCTTATCTATTAGCCATAACTTCGCTGTCGTAAATCACCGCCACCGCGGCAAACCGTTCCCCCTGCTACGGATCGATTCGCCAGCGAGGACAATTTGCAGATCGCTGCCGGAATCGATGGGGTTGCCGGAATCCATCGAACCTATAGTTGCCGATGAGGTGAGGTGAGTTTCTCCTCTCTCCGTTCTCTGTTCCTCACCTTGCCGCCCCAACACCAACACACACACACACACATATCCTGATCTCATCGCAAAAATCGTTACAGAGGGGGGCAACCAGATGACCTTGCTCGAAAAGAGCTTCAATCAAGGAAGAAGGAAGGCTGAAGGGGGTTTAGGCTTTGGATGATGTCGAGGGCTCAGCCGCGATGGAGGGGTCGGCCGGTGAAGGCTTGGCCGTGATGGTCTGATTGGCGATGGAAGAAGAAGCTTGACTGTAAGCTTGCGGTGCGGCTTGGCAGGATGGAACAGCAGCCGAGAACAGCGGCTATGATGGATTCGACGGGGATGGGCTGGCGGTGAGTTCAGCGAGGCTGAACTCAGCCAGTGGAGACGGATAGTGGCAAGAATTGGCCGGCTGACTCGGAATGGAGGATTTGGCTGTGTTGGTGAACTCGTGCAATTTGGCGGTCACAACGAGCTCTGTTTTGGTAAAAAGATCAACCAGATAAATCAGAGGAAAGAGATTTTGAGGAAAAAAGTGTGGTGTCATCGTCATCGTCAACCACCCAACTGAGCTCTGTCAAACCTTTGGTTCTTCAAATGGATTCTCGGATTGGTTAAGGGAAAAAGGGGGTTGAGAGTGAGAGGAATATAGAAAGGGTAAAATAGGAATTCTATTTAGTTTAGAACTTAATTGGAAATATTTATGTAAAGTAGGACTTCTTTGTCCTTTAAAATTGTTTTTTAAGGATTTTTTTTTGTCTTTGAGGTTAAAAAGTTACAAGAAGTTGTTCCATAACATGTCAAAAATAATACGTAACTAGCAGGGAAAGCAAACATGAGTTTGTGCACCCTTTTTATGACTGACATTTAAAGTAAGATGCTGTCGGGCTGTGATCACAAAGGTCGACGAAATTATTAACAAGTATGTCAACATTAATAGAATATTATAAGAGAGTATTTATTATTCTTATATATATCTACTTAAATATATAAATGATTTAGATGATTAGATGCCATCGTTTAGCTGTCACGGAAAGTGATGCATCGGAAAGTTGAATATGAATAGTCGTGTCCTCTTGCTCGTTAACATTGATTAAGATTTGTCTTCACCAGACTCCAATAATATCGATTATTTTTTTCAATCTCATGAATCTTACCAAAAACTTAACCCAAAAGTTTTTATCGATCCATTGGATCATGCTTAAATCCTTTTAATGAATTCAAGTCGATTTAAGTCCGTCTTACGTTAGATTTCTAAGCTTGAATATCATAGTTTTATAATTAATGATTATAAATTATATTTTTCAACAATTAAAATTTCTATTATTTAGCAATAATCAAATTGAAACAAAATTAAAATTACCAAGACTTCCACAAAATGACATAAAAATAGTTACTTAATATGACAAAAGGTCATCATCCATTAGTAATTACATAAGACCTCATGAATCTACAAAATCAACATAATAGGAGATAGTGAAACAAATACAAAATCGAAAAGATGAAAAGAATAAATATTAATTAGAATTAAACTGAATGCCCTAAATAATTGACTAAATTAGAATTAAACTGAATGCTCTAAATGATTAGGGAACGTGAGAAAGAAGTTGAAGGATTTTTCATTTTGGAGCTAAGAGTCCTAATCTAAATAAGAAGGGAAAATATGGATTAAAAATATAAAAAGCTATTTCTTGTGAAATGTGGACTTTTTTGAAATTTATTTATAAGAAAAATAGAGATTGGAGTGCCAAATGATATTAGTGGAGTGTCCCCCCTTTAAGTAATAATGGAAATAAGAAATTGGGGTGTAAAAATTTAGAGTCTGTAATTAAGGCAGATGACTCCTCCATTACCACCAACATTTAATACAAGTATATATATATATACAAGTAAAAGGCCTAAAATAAAAAATTTCGAGTTTATTCTTTCCATTATTTTCACTTCATATGCAGCGTTTAAAATTTTATCCTCTGTGTATGTAATTGATATTTTCATATTTATTGCCTGCCATAACTGGTTGTCTTAAGAAACAATTAAATTATACTATGTAAAAATTTATTTGTAAATAGGAAAAATACTTTATTATTCCGTTATATTAATGATACGTTCAATTGATTAAATACTAACATGTAAATATGTAGTGATCATATGTTTCACTAAAATAAAATATTTTTAAATTATATATTTTATTAAAATAAAATATTTTTTACTTATATAACAAAATATAATTAATTGAGTAATGTCAAATGAATGCAATGGACAAAGAAACAAACAAGAAACCAGGCAATTAATGTGGATAATTTTTTTTTTTTTTTTTTTTTTCGTGTCGCAATGTGTAATGCTATTTTCCAATGTCATAAGTCACGTGCTTCACACTAACTTTTGCATCTGATAATATAATTTACTAAATAATAAAGTGGTGTGAGTAATGTGAAATGGCATTGAGTAGGTGAGGGTTAGATTACCAATAACAATGCCATTTATTTATTACCACACCTCCCAACTCCCAACAGCTCCTGCCTTTAAGAATCTCCTCCGATTGAGGTTTCGACTTCTCATAAAAGACACGCTATAGGCTTCCAATTAGGACTAAGCATTGGGCTGGGCTAGTGGGCTGGGCTAGCGGACTGGGCTGCAATGTGGCCTGCAAAATGTGACTACTATCAGTTTAATTTTGGGCTTAATTGGATTCATCAGTTTAAGTTAGCGTACTTGGAAGAAATTGAGCTGATCTTGGTGCAATAATTGTGGGCCTGAGCTCCATATACGCGGTCCCTCTGACAACTTAATGGACTGGATTAGACCTGCCCACCAATGGGTTCATATTGAGTGCAAGCCCAATGTGTTAGAGACAACGCTGGCCCAGTCACTGGTGAGGTGGGGAAGAAGAAAAATGATAACATTAGTTACGATAGAAATGAAAAGAAAGAAAAAGAAAGAATAATTTTAATTCTTTATTAAATTTGGTTGATTAATAAAAGAAAAGAAAGTATAATAATTTTGTTTGGAAAAAAAACGAAAACAAAATGATAATAATAAATTTATTTTTATACCTTTTTATATTTAAAAAAATAAATTTATTGGGCCTCAAAATTTATAGGCCCATGGATGATGGGCCACCAGAAAAAAAAAAAAATAAATAAAAATTTAGGGCAATTCATTTCATCCTCCCCAATCGCCTCCATCTCTATTCTCATTCACAACTCTGAACTTAAATTTCAAAAAAATAAAATAAATAAAACTCTGAACTTGCCCCCCTCTCTCTCTCTCTGGAACTGCAAACTACAAAATCTACAAGAATCAGAAGTTCACCCACATATTTCAGTTTATCTATCTATCTGTATGCAAGAATCAAAAGTTAAAAACCCATATCGGCATATCATTTCAGATTGTTCAAAAAATCAAAACCCATATCTTTCAGTTTCCATCGCCCGCTGTTCCAGTTCGGGTTCGCCGTTCGCAAGCTTCAGTCGCTGGCCCGCTGTCTCTCAACTCTCACCCCTCTCTCTCTGCAACTGCTAACTTGTATGTATGGGTTTTGTTTTTAATTTTTTTCTAAATCAACTAATCAAGGTCTGTAATTCTTGTTTTGGAAACTAAATCCTAAAATCAGGTGTAATCTTGATTTAGTGAGGAGTGTGAATGTTGTTCCTTGGCTCATCATCTTCTTCTTTTTCTTTGTCGATTCTGAGTTGAACCATTTCAGATACAGTCACATCTCTCTCTCAATTCCGAAGCCGTACTTATAGTGTACATATATATATATATATTATATGCGTATACATACCCATGAACTTCAGAACCAAGGGATTGTTCTCGATACTGCGATTCAACCCAACACCATGTGAGACCTTCTCCAACCACCACCATCAACAATGTCGAACCCTAGTCAGGGTTCGTCTCAAATGGGTCAAGAATCGAAGCCTAGACCACATCATCGACACCCACACCGACCTCAAAGCTGCTTGCCTCCTCAAGGACGCCATCAACCGCTCCTCCACCGGTTTTCTCACCTCCAAATCCATCAACGACTGGCAAAAGCTCCTCGGTCTCACCGTCCCAACCCTCCGTTTCATTCGCCGATACCCAACTCTATTCGAAGAGTTTCCTCACCCCAGGTACCCCAGCTTGCCCTGTTTTCGCCTCACAAATATTGCCAACAATCTGCACAGTGAAGAACAACGCATATTCCAGACCCACGAAGCCGACACGGTCCAACGGCTTTGTCGTGTACTCATGATGATGAAGAACAAGATGGTACCTTTCCAATCACTTCACCCTTTGAAATGGGATTTGGGTTTACCTGATGATTTCGATAGAACCCTCATTAGGAAGTACCCGGATTGTTTCCGGGTCGTTAAGGGTCCGAATGGGTTGTGTTTGAAGCTCGAGCAATGGCGTGAAGAGTTTGCAGTTTCTGAGTTGCAGAAGAGTCATGAGAATGGTGAATTGGGTAGCGGTAGTGGTGGTAGTGGAGGGTATAGGCAATTCAAGAGGGAATACTCAGCATTGGGATTTCCAATGAGTTTTCCTAGGGGTTATGGGGCGCAGAATAAGGTGAAGGCCTGGATGGAGGAGTTTCAGAAGTTGCCATACATTTCACCATATGAGGACTCTAGGGGAATTGACCCAAATAGTGATCTTATGGAGAAGAGGGTTGTTGGGGTTCTACATGAATTTTTGAGCTTGACTATTTATAAGAAGACAAAGAGGAATTACTTGAGAAGTTTGAGAGAAGAATTGAATCTTCCTCACAAGTTTACACGAATTTTTACTAGGTACCCTGGGATATTCTATCTTTCATTGAAGTGTAAGACCACAACTGTGGCAATAAGAGAAGGGTACCGGCGGGGAAAATTAGCGAACCCTCATCCACTCTCTGGTTTAAGAGAGAAGTTTTATCATGTGATGAGAACTGGATTGCTTTATCGGGGTAAAGGTGTGGGCATGATACCTCAGCCAGACAATTTAGGTAATGTTGAGGAGGATGACACAGAACAAGAAGAGCTCGAGGAGGAAGAATATGAAAGTGGGGGTGAATTCTGTGAGGATGAAGAAGATTCAGAGGTCGAGGTGGATTCTGATGAAGATTAGAGTTTTGTCCCCCAAAAAAACTAGAATTGCTGCTTGCCAAAAAAAGTGAAAAGAACTTCAGTTCTTGAGGTAATGATAATTAGTTTATGGCAGTTAACTTATAGCTTATCTGAATGTCAGTGTTGATAGCTATGCAAGTTAAGTTAGTTGTTTGCTGCTGAATCTGAACACTGACATGTTACATTGATGTTAAATTTTACCACATTTTAGCTGGAAAAGTGTGTATCACTAAATTGTTGGTATTGTATGAGTTTATCATGTTCTTTAGCAATATGCACCATTTTTGGCAAACAATTTGTGCTTTTAGCATAATCTAATCTACAAAAATGCCGAACTCATGCCATGTTGATCTCTAAGTAAATTATGTTGAAGCTTCCATTGTATGTCATATTCTTCAGTAATTTATGTTATTAGTTTGTTTGGAATGAATTTGATGTGCCTCATCCTGGAACAAATTAGCTTCAAGTTTGAAATGAAGGGGGACTTAAGTTTATAGACTTCAGACATGAAGGCCCAATTTGCGTCAAACCTACACGGTGTCTTGTCAGCATGGAGCACTTAATTCAGTGACTATCAAATGTTGCCTAGTAAAGGTTGACTAGTTTGCTAAAAGGTTGTTTGTCTGCATGCAGTACTAAATTTTATAACTGTCCAAAATTTGTCCATGAAGATTTCAACTGTTCTCTTATGAATGAATCGTGGGAAGCTTCACGAGGGGTGATGTTCAAGAGAAGTATTAATTCCAAGTTTGTTTTCATTATTAAGAAGGCGTGCTGTTGAAGTAAGGGATATCTAGCTTGTTCTCCTGCTTTGTTTGTAAAATTATAGCCAAGGTCCTAGCCAAGAGATTGAAAGAGGTGGCAAGAAAGTCACTATCTTTCGGTCCTGGCTAGCATGCATTCATTAAAATGAAAAACGAGATTCGCATTTCTAATTACTAATGAATGTTTGAATAGATCTAAAGTAAGAAGTCCGAAATCTAGTAGGTAGTTCACTATGTGACTCAAAGGGTCTGATTGATGGTTTATAAGGACATGTGAATAAGTCAGTCAACTACAAAGAGGCTTCATTTGTTGTCTGAAACAGTTCCGATGGGGTGCTTTTAGCATTATTGCGTTTATGCGACCGCCATTTAGAGATCCAATTACCTGATCTTTTCGCTGAGGTTAGGGGGAGGACATGCAATGGAGTATTTGAGTTACTGAATGACCGGGAATTAGAGGTTGCTTCTTCCTTCGTTACTTTTCTTGGTAATGGTGAGCATACTTTGAGTTGGAGAAGTAGTTGTGATTGGATTTTCTCAATGGAGTTGTTTAATGTGCTTGGAAAAATAGTTGCAAGCAGTTGGCCAGCTGAATAGTTTATCTAGTCTATCCTTTATTGATGTTGTATGTGCAAATTTTAGACACAATCAGTTTCTCGTGCCTTTATTCATTGAATGGATGCTTAATTTCACATCTATTCATAAGAGCATAAGACTTGCAGCTTATTACCACGTTTTAGCAGGAAAAGTAGGTAACACTAAATTGTTGATATTCTGTACGAGTTTATCATGTTCTTTAGTATTGTTATTTCAAAGGGAAAGGACAATATGCACCCTTCTTGGCAAACAATTTGTGATTTTAGCATAATTTAATATACAAAATGCTGAACTCATTCCATGTTGAAGCATGCTTTATTTTGTTGGTTTGTTTGGAAGGGAATAATATCTACCAATTTTGGCCAAAAAAAAAAAAAAAACACACACGCAAAAACAAACTGACTATTGTGTTTCTGAATGAATTTGATGTGCCTAATCCTGGACCAATGCCATGTTAATCCCTATAATCAAATTAGAATCAAGGTTGAAATGAAGGGGGCATTAGTTTATAGACTTAAGATGTGAAGGTCAATTTTGCTTCAGCATGCAGCACTAAATTTTGTAACTGTTTAGATGAGCTGTTGAGTATTTTCTTGCCAGGTTCATGATATATTCCCTTGAGCCCAAGCATTATAGATGAAACATAAAATATTTTGATGAATATCACTCATGTACACAAAGATATCTAACGGAGACTATATACTCGAGGACCATTCCCAACCAACAACACCCACATTTCAGGGGAAAATTATATACACAAATGATGATAGACTTCCATGAGACGCTAGACCCTAATTTGTTGGCAGTCTGGTACTACCAACCTAACCATTACACCGCTCACCCCTCTTCTGGTATCAGTACCACTAAAAGGTGAAACACCGGAAAAGGCATTTCCTTCTTTAAAAATCAAAAGGAACTCAACCACTTTGGAAAAACATAATAATCCTTAAAAAAAAAACTGGTGGAAAAATACATATATACTACCAGAACAAATTCAGTACATTTTGGGACACTAATCCCAAGCACTGGTCACACCAGAACTATAACCCCCACCATAACTGGCAGGAACCCCATATCCACCGGTATTGTTGCCTCCGTAATAATCTGTGTTGCTCCAACTCCTATTCAAAGAGCCCTCTCTTCTAAAATCCCGACTGCCAAAACGTCCTCCCCCAGAGCGTTTGTTCTTACCTCCTCCGTATAAATGACTTGCATAACGAGTGAGCCAAACAGGAACTTCCTGATTAGATTCTTGCATCAGATCAGCTAGTGGCTTTGCCAATGATAAATTTTTCTCGTTGAAGAAAGCTGTTGCTAATCCTGACTTGCCAGCACGGCCTGTCCGTCCTATCCGGTGCACATAATCATCAATGTCATTGGGGATGTCAAAGTTGACCACATGAGCAACATGAGGAATATCAAGACCACGTGCTGCCACATCTGTTGCTACTAGAATTGGTGTGTTTCCACTCTTAAATGATCTCAATGCTTGTTCTCTTTCCTGCACAAAAACACGTTATAATCTTATACTATACGTAATTCTAGAATGAATAATCTAAACTATATGTAGATGTACAATGGCTAGAATTGTGTTAAATGACTGTTCTACACTTTAATTTAGACGTTGAGCTGGGAAAAGAACCAAAGATATGTCAATAGGTTTTACTTACATGCAATCATGTTTAATTTAAGTAATATGTTGGTTACCTGTCTGGTAACTATAAAATGACAAGTTCCAGTGAAAAGAATGTGTTTAAAAAATAGTTCACTGAAAATCTTTATGAGATTGACTTGCTAGGCATAAACATAATAGAAACAAAGCATTGCATTTATAAGCTCGCAACAAATTCTTGAACTAATACAGAACATGTACATATAGGAAAGAATAACCTACAATAGGTTATTTTAAACATTGAAAATTGGAGTATGTTTTGTATGTGTGTGTGTGTTAGATAAGGGATTATAACTTATTGTTAGCTCCATAGTAGCCCCCAAGTTACCACTAAAATAGGTGGTTGTTTTAAACATTGATAATTATGGTACAGAGCTGACATGTACATATAGGAAAGAATAACCTAAAATAGGTTGTTTTAAACATTGATAGAATGTTCTGTGTGCGTGTTAGATATGGGATTATAACCTTAATGTCAGCTCCCTAGTAGCCCCCAAGTACCACTTAACAAGGCCAAAGACATTAGACAAGTTCTCTATACACTAAAATAAGCATTACTACATTTGCAGCGCCATTTAATTGGATTTATACGTCTTAGGAAAAATGTTGCAGGATAATATTTGAAAGATTGCAATCCCAGTGTATCTGAAATTTCTTGTCACTCACCTGCTGTGTTCTGTCACCATGAATAGTTGTTGCAGGAAACCCATTAAGACACAACCAATATTCCAATGAGTCAGCTCCCTTTTTTGTCTCCACAAATACTAAAGTCAGAGCTTGCTGCAAATTCAATTGACAATTAAAACTGAATCAATGCAGTGCTAGCTATACACAATCTATTAAATTGAATTCAAATAAATACATCCTTTGAACTAAGGGTTTAGTTGCAAGCAATGATAATCAGACGAAAACCACAGTTAATTCTTTTCTTTTTCTTTCTCAAAGGTCACCAGTGGTATGGAACACAATACCACTCCTATCAAGAATCAAAACTTGGACACCAGCAGAGTTAAAAATGCCTTCATAAGTAATTCTAATCAATACAAATATATTTATATATATACATATATATTCCACAGGTAAGTCCAAATTGCACGAGACATCAAGAATGGCTTGTATAACCTTGCCGTGAACTCCATTAGCTCTCTGCGCATGAAGAAGGTCCATAAGGTGGCTTCTCTTGTCAGTCTCATGAACAAATTCAACTCTTTGAACAATCAAATCAGTACTTGAACCAACCCTTCCAACAGCCAGAAAAATGTAGTTTGAAAGAAAATCAGATGCCAGTCTCTGCATACCAACCAAAAGCACAAAAATTTGTCAGATGGAACACATTGAAAAAACCAGAAGCCAATCTTCAGTAACATTTCACTTGACCTTCCCATACCACCTTACCATCAAACACCAGAATATGCTAACAATTTACTATAGCACATATCCCATATGAAAAGAGAAGAAAAGAAAAGAACAGAGTGGCATGCAAGAAATCTAGCCTTCATCTAAACTGGATTTGTAGGAAAACCAAAACCAGTACTCAAGAAGCAACTTTCTCAGTCAAGATACTATACCACCTCATCTTTCAACTACATCGGCGGTTTAAGTTCCTCAGAAGTTATCTAATGATTATATGAAGATAAAGGGTTAACTTTGATCTATAGATTCTATACAGAAGGAACAACGAGAATCTTTATGATATTTCACTAAAAGAAAAAAAATATATATGCATTAAAATTCCTGCAAAAGGCATTAGATGAAAAACACATATAATCGAAAACTGACATGAATTCCAAAAGAAATTAGTAAACCTGGATCTCTTTTGGAAAGGTTGCACTAAACAGCATAGTCTGTCTCACGCCTCGTGGAGGCATGTCCATTTGTTCCACTATCTTTCTGATTTGAGGTTCAAATCCCATATCCAGCATTCGATCTGCCTCATCAAGAGCCAAGTATCTAACCATCTCCAACGAAACTCTTGCTCTCTCAAGCAAATCAACTAATCGTCCAGGAGTTGCCACTAAAATATCAACTCCTCTTTCAAGTTCTCGCAACTGGCCACACAGAGCAAACCATTAATAGCAAATACTAGTTTCAAACATGTTGACAGTGAAAAGAACAACACTACTTAAAATCAGGTCACAATAACCAAATTGCAGCAACTACTTACAAAACGAGATAACTCGGTTAATCAAACTATGTCCTAAGAAATAAAATTGTAAATAAGTAACCTTTAGCATATAAAATGATTTAATGTTTACACCAAAATTCAAAGAACTCAAAAAAAAAAAAAAAAATGATGCATACTGATTCAAATATGCATTGGGCCTAGGGGTAATTGCACAACTATGAACAAATACCATAAAGTAAAGCAAGTAAAAACTTGTCATTCTGTACCAATTTCTTACAACCACACCTTATAAAGTACAATAATTAACTACAAAATGTATATTTGTTTAAGGAAAAAAAAAAAAAAAAAAAAGATGGCCCATACATTAGGAGGAGGAGGAGAGAACAACAACCAAGCCTTTTTCCCAACTACTTGGGGATCAGTTACCTGAATCCTATGTTTCCATTTTGCTCTTATGAGGAGAGTGACGTAAAAAAGGAGAAGATATAACAATTCATCTTCTTTTTTTCTTTTTCTTTTTTTGATAAGTAGAAATAGCAATTCATCTTTAAAATGGGGTACATAATGTGATCACTGTTAACTGAGGGTGGCGGGAGAGTGTTATGTATAAAGGAGAAGAAATAGCAATTCATCTTTAAAATGGGTACATAATCTGATCCCCGTTAACTGCGGATGGCGAAGAGAATCCATCATTTACATAACCATAGGTTATCCAAACCATACAAATGGTGTACTCTCATTTCCCATCAACACTGATATGCTAGTTCAAGATGATTATAGAAATTATGCTTTTGATAGTCTCAATGAAGTGCAAATACTTAAAAAAGAAGAGGAAGAAGATGAAGACGCAGAGTTTCCTGAAAAGAGAAGAAATAGCAATTGATTTTGAAGGTTACTGAGTGAGGGGAATGGAAGAGTGTTCATTGTTTAGCTATTCAAACCGTTCAAATGGTGATTTTTCTGTAGTTGTTAAAGGTTATTAATTATTACATAATGTCTTTCCCGTTAATAGAGGTAGCCAGTAGAGTGTCCATTGTTTAGCTATTCAAAACATTCAAATTGTGGGTTTTTTCTCAATTCTTAATAACTTGGGTATGCTAGTTCGAGAGAGAGAAAGAAATTGTGCGTTTCCACCATCTGCTCCAAGTTATTATCTTGACAAATGCTGTAACACATCATAAAAGCGGCTGGAACTTGAATGAATATTTAAAGGGTTAAGCAAGCTGAAAAATGGTGTAATCTAGAATAGTCATGAAATTTTGTAAACAGTGGCAAGAAGCAATGGACATCATTTGGCTTTGATTCCTTGCTTTTTCTTCTTCGTAGCATTTCACTACATATTCACTCTAAAATACAATAGAATATGAAGAAATTAACCTGAAAGGAAAATTGAAAGAATATAATGCCATATTTTTTTTAATAAGTTAAAGGATATAATGGCAAATGAAATTCAAAAATAGAAAAGGTCCAAGGAAGTCTTGGACTACTTATTAGTTATTCTCTAAAAAAATTATTCAAGACATTTCAGAATTATAACAGATGACAAAAGGTTTTATACTATAAAAGATAAAATAAAAATAAATAAAGAAGCAAAAAGAAAGAAAATGATCTAGAAAACCATACTGATATAGATGAATCAACATAAAGTACAAATCAGAAAATATTAGGAGTGTTACATCTACTCCCATGTTAGCGGATCTTTATCCATTAATTGCACTACAATCAGCAAAATGCAAACTTAAAGATGAAATACGAGCACGCAAACAGTTCTATACTTCCACATGTTTAATCAATGTATGAGAAAGCAATGAAAACCTGCTGGTTGATTGGTGCTCCTCCATACACAACTACAACCTTGACACCAGTTTGATAGGAAAATTTTCTAGCTTCGTCATGTATCTGCATGTCAAAATGCATGAAGACCAGTGTTACAAATATTAATAACTTACATTCACCAAGATGCATCCTTTTAAACCACAGACCTACCTGACAAGAGAGCTCTCTTGTAGGTGACAGAATAAGAGCAAATGGGTACACAGTACGTAATCCGCGTGGTCTTGCAAACTGCCCCCTCATGATTCCACTTATAATTGGAAAACAAAAAGCAGCTGTCTTACCAGACCCAGTCTGAGCACAAGCCATCAGATCCCTACCCGCAATGGAAATGGGGATCGCATGACGCTGAACAGGGGTTGGCTTCACATATTTGCACAACCGAATGTTTTGATTCAGTGCATCCCCCAAGTCTATCTCAGCAAAAGTATTCACAGGAGGCGGTACATTATCTCCACTTGTCTCCACTGGAATATCCTCATAAGCATCAAAGTTGATACCAGTATTTTCCTGGTCACCAAATCCACCCTCTGCATCATCATCAACATCATCATTAGCAAAGGGGTTTACCTCAAAGCCCTTCCCACGGTCCCATCCTCCACCTCTGTTGTTCCAACCACTGCCACCACCACTAATTCGGCCACCACCGCTATATCCTTGGTGTCCATAATCATTCCTAGAACCTCCCCACTGAGATGCATTTGTAGGTCCACTGTAGGCAACTCTATTATTACCTGATGGTGGGCCACTATAAGATGGAGCCGGAGGCTCTGACGCAGGCGGCCTGTTACGAAGATGAGGTGGAACATAAGCAGACTTAGCAGGTTGTGAATCTCCCACAGCCCCATTATTAACGGAACCAGAAACTGCATTCTCAGCTGCAGTAACAGAATCTGCCCAAGACGTCCTCATAATTGAAAATTTGGAACCCTTTCCTTTCAACAATAACTTAAAAACCTAACTCAAATTTTTATTCCACAATCACAACCAAACACTAACTCCCCCAAAAAAAAAAAATTCTGAATCCAAATTCCTCTCACCACTTCGTGAAATAGTAGATTGCATCTATGAATCAAAGATCAAAACCCTGATCAATCAAAGAAACACAATTAAAAAATCAACAACAAAAAAAAAAAAAAAATATTTGTCGCAACCGTAAAAATTGAAATTCAATACACAAACTAGTAAAATAATAATAATAATAATAATAATAATTGCCTTATAATTCCCCAAAAAACATGTTACAATAACCAGAAACCACGAAATTAAACTAAATCTTTCGAAAACAGTGATGAAAAACAATCCGTTACAACAATGCAGATCGAGCATTCAAATGTCAAATGAAAAAACACTAAACAGATGAGGAACTCTAAAGAGAGCGAAGGGGGAAAATTGACAAAACCTGATGAAACTCTTAGAAGAAACAAACACAATGAGATCACGAATTTAAATGTTAAAAAGAAAAAAAAAAAAAAAACAGATGAGAGAATAATCGTCAGATACGTAAATGAGTTTGAGTTTGAGAGAGAGAGGCATTACAATGAACAGTAGAGCGATGGCGAATTCATATATATATATATATGTATATATATACACACACAAAGAGAGAGAGACAGAACGAACCTCAGACGATGGGATCAGATATGAGTACTACGATTTTATTGGCAATTTGATGGAGCAATGAGAAACCCTAGCTTTAAAGACGACAATCTAAATCGGAGAGAGAATAAATCTGTTTCGAGGTAGGTTTTGCTGTTGTTAGATTATAAAGTATAGACTAGTAGTTAATAAGATTCAGAAGTCTTGCGTATTTCAAATTTTGGACTAGGGGATCAAAAATGAAAATCTCCTCTCTCACACTTTCTTTACTTTTCCGAGAAAAACAGCCAAACAATTCTGAATGGTGTCCGTACGAGTTGGGCTGGCGTCATAATAAACGGTGACTTTTTAGTATATAACAATGGCGAAGGTTAAAATTGGTGTTGATGGGTAAAATTTTGAGACTTTACCTTCATGTTTTTTTTTTTCAATTTTTTTATTTAGTAATTATGAGTCTTATTTTTATAAGTATTATTCTATCAAATTTTTATAATTTTGGTATGATTCATTGAGTATTTCAAAGCTACGAGAAATGGTGGCTAAGAGACACGAGATGATACATGGCAAAATCTTTTAAAAAAAGAGAGAATTATCAATATCAGGACAATTATTTGTACATGTATTGTATTTTGTTGGATATGTACAAAAAAATATAAAATAAAAAATAAATTTATGTATTGCTCTATTTCAATATAATATATATATTGAAATAGAGCAATACATAGATTTATTTTTTATTTTTAATAAAAAATAAATCTATGACATTGTAACGAGCATTTTCTTAAAAAAAAAATTAAGCCAACAGTTTTGTTGCATAGACATAACAAATTTGGACTAAATTAAACATGAAATATTCTCTCAAATATTTTTTGTATTAAAAAATAAATAAAAGGATTTTTGGAGCCTTTGTTTTGTTTTTGCTTTCTAACAGTTTTATTATAGTTAAAAAATTGTTATATTTAATGTTCAAGACATGATACACAGACTGTAATATTTGTGAAGTAATGGTATGCGGTTGAAATAACAAACATTGTTTGTAATTCATGAATAAATAAGTACTATTACGTAGTATTTAGGACTATTGGTATCCAATACACGCATGGCTTCCTTATAAAAATTTCAGTATTTTTAAAAATATATATATATATATATAATTTTTTTAATAAAAAAAGGAATACTCCGTATCACATATTATATAAGGGGTGATAAAATTGTAAAAAATATATATATAGTGATAGCATAATATTGTTGCATGTTTTCAAGTAGCAACAATGATAATTTTTTTAAATACTCCCCTCTGTCCCAAAAAAACAAGTGTCACAGTTTTCAAAGAGTGCCTTTGGATGAGATGATTTGGAGGTATAGGGAAAGAAAAGAAAAGAAAGTATATGACTTAAGTGTGTTTAGATAGTTTAAAATGAGAGAAAATAAAACATAAGGGGAGATAGGAAAGGATAATTATCTCTCATTCTTATTTCTCAAAAAATGAGAAGATAGGGCGAGGAGTGATAGTATTTAAGTATTTTCATTATTCTGAAACTGCCCTCAACACTTAAAAAAAAAAATTTATTATTCCACTCATATTTCTTTTATTTAAAATGATATAATAGTAATTTGGTTGTTATCATTTCTCTTATTTTCTCTAATCTATCATATCCAAACAAAAATGTTATTACTTATTTTCTTTTTTCTTCTATGTATCCAAACATAAATAGAAATTATTGCTATCTTTTTTAATTTTCTTTTTTTCTTTTCATAACTAATATTATCATTTCATTTCTTTTTTCTTCTATGAATCCAAATAAAGCCAAAGTGTAATGTGACTCTTTTTTTTTTTTTTTTTTTTTTTTTTTTTTTTTTTTTTTTTTTGAAACGAGTTGAGTTAACCGAAACTATTGGTACCATGTTAACCACTATTTATTCTTAAGTTCAAGCATTTAGAAGGTAGAACGGGTTTAACTTTAATGATATTTCTGAAAGTTCATAATGAAAAACAAGCTAAGGTGACACTAAGACTTCAATTTCACGTAACAAATATTTCATGGTTACAAGAGTCTATCAATAGCCTATAGGCTCTGAACACATCTGTGGCATAATTTTCAATGTGAAGTTGGGACATAAAGGATTGAAAGTAACCCTTCTAAATTATAACAGAGAGACAATCTTCAAGATGCCTGCTGATTCATAAATTAAAAAGTAGCTAGCGAATGTTCAATGAAAAATGATATGTTGACCACAAAATCCTGCAAAATCATTCCAATGTCATCCACTGCAGCTAACATGTAATACCCCTAATTTTAAAAGGATAGTCTCGATATTTTATTAATTATTTTAATTGTATTTTTTATTATTTATTTGATTTCTTGACTATTTGTTTAATTGATTAATTAGCTATTTGATTATGTGGTTATTTGAATTATTTGTTTATGTTAAATAGTGTGTTAATTAAATAATTATTTGTATGATTTTTACTTGATTAGATGATGTGTAGTTAATTAATTGTTATGAATTGAATGATTTAAATATTTGTTTTATTTTATTTTATTTTAATGGTTATGGAGAGTAGTCATGGACCAAACCCATGGGTGGCATGAACTATTTGGATAGGAGATTAAAAGGGTACAAATAGTTACCTATGGATTGGTGGTACATATATATATGGGTATATATGTATATATTAGGAGAAATATAATAATTATTATCATTAAAATTAATAGTTAGTAATATTAATTATATAGTTTGTATAACTATATATATATATATAGTTATAAAATATATAATATATTTATATATATGAAATCAAGTATTGACATAGTTGTATATATTTATATTTTATATTTTTCATTTTCTTTTAGTTTTTACCTTATTAGCAGAAGTAGAATGCACATAAGATTAGGATTAAAGTGAAGGCCTATATATATTCTTTAAGTATGTAGAAGAGGAGGCTTAAATATTATTTACGTGATATATATTATTAGAGAGAGAAAGAGGAGAGAGATAACAGGGAGTTGAGAGAAAATGTGAAAGAGAGGAAGAAGGAGATTCGGCCTAGAGAGGAGGCCGAACCTAAAGAGAAGAAAGGAGGGGCTGTGCGTGGGCTAGCACGGAGTAACAGAGAGGTTTGACGGCAGTGCAAGTCGCCGGAAAATCAGAGAAGAAGGAGATTTAAGGTTTTCATTCCGAAATCTTGAAGGCAAGTTATTCTCCTACTCTCTCCCTTTGATTTGTGTTTCTATATATGCCTAGGATATTCTTGGATACTTAAATAATACTATCTCCGTCCAAAAATAATGTCGTGCTTCGGGAATCGGAACAGTTCAATTTGTGAGAGTCACTGTTCCCTAAAAGTGACACTTTTTATGGGACGGGGGGAGTATAATTAAACAATTATGCATGTTTGAATCGGATTAGAACAGAGAATTTCATAGGTTGATTCACCTATTCTTGTTTTGTTTATTTTTGGATTTATGTTGCATGAATTGTTGTTTAAGTTTGATCTTTTCATGGTAGGACATCTAAAATAAATTATTATAAGAATATGAGACTTAGATCGAAGGTTAAAATTTTATCAATGGAGGTTGGACGAAAAAACAAAGGAATTACAGGAAGAAGTAGTCGACTATATTGAAGGGCATAGTAGACTACGCATATTCGATTATATTGAATGTCACATTGAAGTAGTAGTCAACTATGTGCAGTAGACTATCTTGAAGGCACAGAAGACTACGTATAATTGACTTGCTGAGGGCACAGTCGACTATGTTAAGGGTGGTTTTAGCTGTGATTTGGGTTTCTTGGTTATTTTGCCCATAATGTATATTATTTCATTTTAATTGCTTTAAATGATTTGAATGGACATGGATAAATCCCAGAATGCATAATCTACCGTAATACGCTATGGATTTGAACAATATGAAATTTTAAAATAAATTTGCATACTGTTATTGAATATGGGTGTTTAAAATTGTTTACTTTTGTTCTAACAATTTTCTATATATGATTATAAATTTTAATCATGTATCAGCAGTATAATATGCTCAGTTAATTATCTAATTTTTATTATGCATATTATTCAGATTTAATTGATGTATTATTTAATTATTTCATAAATTATTGAATTGTATGTATGTGATGCACTAGTATGGGATGGTGGCATTTTAGGGACGGATTAACCGATAAAAGTTTAAGTCCTACCTACTCGAATTTATAAGGGAACGAAATAACTAGAAAGTTAAGTCCTCCTTATTTTCATGTCAGGCCATTAAATTAATTTGGATGACATAATGGATTTTATTTTATGCTTTAGACATGATGGATTTTTTATATACATATGGATATGAGCCATGATATAAGCTTGAGTCTCAGGATCTATGGTTAGGGAGCGTATACTGCCTTGGGAAGTCTCATTGGTTATAAGAGTGTTGAAAACCCTGGTAGGTTGAGGTACTCATGCCCACTACATGTGCGTTTTGCATATTGTCTTCTATTCAGGTTGATTTCGTCCTATAGTCCAATGGTAACCCTTTAGTGTGTACCTATTGAAAGTACAAAGAATTTCCCCTTTTTACAGATAGAGAATTTCTTCATTCCCAATCCTCTTTTTTTTTTCCTTTTCCCTCTCGATTTCCCTTATTTATAGACGGTTACAACCTCCTTTGGCCTGGGCCTTATCTGCTTCCCTTTGCCTGGACTCAACTTCCCTCATTTTAACATGAGCTTTTGAAATGACTTTATGGACCTGGGCCCATCCCGCGCGAACTTGCTCCATCCCGTTTGTCCACACCCGACCCGTCCTCTGCAATGCGGATCACACCAAACCCGGGTCATTTTGGTGTCCTCATCTGCCCCCAATAATCTCTTTCCTCATTAATGAGGGTGAGATTATTAAAAAGACATGATCTTGGTCTGACGGCTCGGAGCAATGACACGAGAAATCGAACGGCTGGCACAAAAACCCAAGCTTCGAGATCTGTAACGCCACTTTTTGCCTTGACCTTTTGAGTTCCATGTTGCCTTTACTTCTCCTCTTTATAAATTCTGGTCTTTCAACCTTCACCCTTCCTCTTACCTCTCGCTTCTACTCTCTGCTGCTTTCCTGCACATTCCGGCGATCCTTTTCAATTTCTCCGGCATGTCCTTCCGGCAAGTCCTTCCTTTTCGATTTTTAGCTACTGTGCCGTTGCTGAGTTCATTACAAACTTTCAAGGTTAGTTTTTTTTTTTAAATCTCTCCTTAAAAGACGCCTTTACTGCCTAGGACTCTTCCCTTTATTTATGGCTCCCCTCAACCTGAACGCCATTCGATCCAAGAATTACA